GAGCCACAGCACACCTGCCTCAGTAAAACTTACTGCATAATTTGTGGAAGAGATTTAAAAGTGATGTCAAGATTTAGTAAGAAAAGTCAAAATAAGCTCATTTTAGTTGTATTTATGTTTTTAAAAGATAGTTTTTACAAATTAACTTATCTATGACAGCCTTAGAGAGGTTGAAGTCAGAGAGATCTGCATGGAGGGCAAAGATCAGGGAGCCAAGACTTAAACTCCAGAAATTTCTATATAAGTTTAAGGGCCAAGAGGAGAAAGAGAGAGTCCATAAAGATGTGAGCAGGAAGAGCCAGGGAAGTGGTTCAGAACAGAAATGAATAGTATCCATTCCAAGAGAGGAGTTTAGAGATTGAGAAAATGGTCATCAGTGACTGATTCTCCAGGAAGATGAAGTAGCTGAAGAAAGGAAAATGCCATTTGGACTGTCATCCTGGAGACCTTAATGAGGACAAACAACAGGCTCCCACACAAGTCTGAAATCCAACAGGGCAGATATTAATCTTTAATATGGTGTGGTGGTGTGTTGAGTGTGGAAGCCGCATTTAGTTGGTTGAGAAGTCAAAGTGAGGTAAGATGTTGATGATGAAGAGCTCATCATTATTTCAAAATGTTTAGCTGTAAAGAGCATTGAGAATAAGACAGAAGCTATAAGAGGGTGTTAAGTGGTAGGAATGTCTGTTTAGATATGAGAATTTTGAGCATTGAGAGCTGAGGGGAAAGAGCCAGTAGAGAGAAAGAGAAGTTGATACACAGGGAAGAGTGTGTTGCTGATGGCTCAAGACTTGAGGTGGGCATCAACCCTGGTTAAGAACCACATGTTCTATCCTGGTTCTGTCAGGAAATTTAATAGTTATCTTTATCCTACAGCAATTTCTCCAGGCATATACCCACTCATACATGCTAGACATTCCTATGCATTTACGTTTGGTTTAGTGAATAATATAGGCAGTAGTAGACTACACTTATGTGAAGAGATCAGTCTGTGATCTGTGGTAAAACAATTACATGTTAGTCTTCCTGATCTTTGCATTCCTACATTTTGCCAGCAATAGGTTACCCAACTTTTAAGTGGTACTAAATGTTGTTCTTTGGTAAGCTGCCATGGTTTAGAAATGCTTCATTGTCTGTGGTTTGCTTCAGCTTTCTTTTCACAGCAGAATGGGGTCCTGTAAGCCTCCCCTCGAAGGACTGGATTTCTGAACATTGGTGCCCTTTGCATTGACTCTTCATGAACAATGTGTAATATCCCAGAGGAATTGAGAATGGAATGATCTTTGCACTTGATGTAAATTTTTAGATGCTTACCACTTGGACCTTCAACATATGGCTTTATCCACTAAAGAGATTTGACAGACAGGGCACCAGACATCTGTTTATGTGATTTGATCTTAAGGAAATACAGTTACAGATAAGGGGAGAGATGTAAAGATGTTTGTCTGAGGTCATGTAAGCAGTTCATAGTTGAACAGAAACTACAGCTCCAGCCCCCTGACTTTCGACCTTTATTTCCTTGCCTTAAATATGTATTGCCTATAGTAGGAAAGGGTATGGCTTCTATTACAAAATCATTGCTGAATCAAACACCCTAGCATCGTAAGTTCAGAAATTTGTGAAACCAGTAAAAGCATTATTGATTCTCAGGTGGTCTAAAAATAATGTCTTCTTATATTGAAACCAGTTATGAGCTTATAACTGAAAATAGTTATTAGTTTGCTCAGAGCCTAGAGGTAAGAAGTGTTACCATGGGCTTCAGACAGCAGAAGGTTCACGTTTCTGGATGTGCAGTTTTGTAACTTGGCCTTGTTGTTCCCGATTTCTTCATTTGTAATTTATTTCTCCCGTATGTGGCATGTGGGAAATATCCTGAAGGCAATTCTAATGAAATATATTGAGAAATAGGTTCTAGTAGCTTATAGGGCTTTAGAGGAAGTATTTCTCAAGGACTTTGAAGTCTCCTACTGAAAAGCCCTTTAAAAAGAGAATAGTCTCACTTCATTTCATTTTCCTGGCTCAGAAATGAAAATGATCATTATTAAATATGCATCTTAAATCTTGCATAAAGCAGAATATCAGAAAACTGACATATGAACAGGCAGATATATAAACAGATAAATACAGAGATCATTGTAATCGCTCTCCTTTTCTTTATTCACCAGGGTAAGGGAATAAGGAAATATAAATTCTATCTTTAATTAATATTTTGTTTCTTAAATGAAGTTGTCTAAGGCAACTTTGTATATGCCTATTTATGCTACATTGAAGAAAAGGAAAAAGGAGTGTGCCTTACATGTATTCCTAGTTAATTTTTGAAGATATATTTCTGTCAGACCCTCTTGGGACATTTATAAAATAATAGGTTAGATGTGATTGGCTACACTCTGTGGTTTCTCCTTTCTATCATGTGCGCTCTCGGGAGCTCTGCATTGCTTACTAACTTGAGGATGGTAAAGTAAGTCTTTATCTTGGGTGAGAAAAAGTCTTGAAAATGTTGCATGAACAAATCTGTAGTGCATCACCAAATATGAACTTAATCTGGCACCAGAGTCAGCCTTAAGAGATAAACCTTGGGGTGATGGGCATGCTTTTGTGGCTTCTTGATGCTATGGAGACCTGTTGAATGGGAGCTGCAGAGCCGGGGTGTAGGGTAGGGTTGGGGAAAGGTGATAGAGCTACCTGTGCATAAAACTCAAATAAATGTAATTTCTCCTAAAGTTCCTGACCATCAAGAGGCTATTTCAGCAATTGTAGTCGACATAAACTCTTTTGCTAGAATAGTTTATGTCGATTGCAATTGCTGAAGTAGCCTCTTGAATGAAAAAAAAGTCATGGAAAGCTATGAACAAAAGCCTCTAGGATGAAACAAAGCATATAAACAATCTTATTGATGTGTAACACAAATAAAACTCATGCTCTTTTTCTGTATACTCGTCTGTAGCTCCAAACTGACTTTTCAGGATATTTTTTTTCTTATCCTCTTCAATACAAGGTGTCAGTCATATACAGATGCATAGTTAGGGTGTAGAGCAGATGATTTAGCCACACTCTCTCCCACTCAGAGATGGCACAGCCTATGGCCTTTTAAATTCTGCAGTGACATTTAATTGGTGCTTATATTGAAAAATATAACCCTGTCTCAAAAATATGCTTATGTTGTCATGGAAAATGGTTCATGAACACAGGTGATATTTTCATAACCACACAGAAATACCATGTTTATGAAACAGGCTTGGCCTAGTACAAAAGTTCTCACTCAATCCAGATTAAAGACTATTATTTGGTAAAATAATACATATTTCTGATGGTTTTCTTCTTGTAGAGTCGTACAGGATAAGATTATAAATCACAAAGGTATCAGGAACTTCACGCTAGTGTCGCTGACCAATGTAGAGCTTCCATTTTTCCATGCAGCCGCCACCTTCCCCAGAGTATCTGCTTGTGTGCCTCTCCTCATGCCTACTCACTGCTCTATAGCAAAGTGCAGGCTTTCACAAACCACAGTTCCCAAAGACTTGGCTCATGGACCACGAATGATGCTTTACAAAAATGGGAGACACAGGTTGGTGCTAAAATTACGTTACCCCAGGCTCAGGATCGACTCCTTATTTATGCTCCTGGTGTTAGAAAATGTATTAGGAAATAAATCATAAGATGATCAAGGACTGGCAAGGACATTTAATAAAATGTCAGCAAGTCTGGAAACCAAGTTGGGAAGCAATTCATCATACTGAAGAGACAAGGTGGAGAAAATTTGAAGCCATAAGGGAAAGGGCAGCATAGTCAATGGGTGTGAACATTATTTCTAGAATCCTAATGAAAATATTTTATTACACATGAGAAATATCTTACTTGATCAAAATGAAGGAACTCACGTTATAGTTTTAGTCAATAGTGAGTAATAACAAGTAAATTTCTAAAATGGCTGGGACCCATAAACTCTGAATTTCTTTCTGTTCTGGATGCTACTGGATAAAGGGAGTCCATTTAATAGGTAATCAGAGGTATTGTGGTGGTCTTAGTCAGCTGCTTACATTTTATCTCATTAAGGAAGCTCTGAATGAAGGGAACAGTGAAGAAATTAAGTAACTGCCTCATGCTGTGGCAAAAGGGGAAGAGAAAGGAAAAATGTAGAATGTGTCTTGTGAGCTGAAACACTGTGTTTCCTGGCTGTATTGATTATCAGGAGAAACATGCTTAACAGTCAATAAACCCCATCCATGGTCTTTGTTAAGCTTAAAATAATATATGGACAAATGCAAAATATAATTTTATTTACCTGATTCTCATTTTCACATATTTTTTTTCAGTATAAAAAATGTCTTGGCTTTCACAAATATTTTTCATTTTCAAAAAGCAGCCCCAAACTTAGTTGCTTTTTTGTTAAAAACAATGAGAACAAAACAGTGTAAATATGCAAGCAGTCCCAAATAAAACCACAATTCTTGAATCCCCTTTAACCCTTCCTAGCTGTGTATTTAATGAAAGCAGAACTTGCCAGCCATAGGGATACTGCTCTAAAGAAATTATGCTTTAAGAATATTAAAGTGTAGTTTTTGGCAGTGAAGGTATCCAATTTTGCTTTGTACCCTAGGTAACCTTAAGAAAAATATCTTAAGAATTCATCTCTTCTGGCATTAAATACAATCCAAAAAGCGAATGGCATTAGGCTTCATCAGTTTGACTCTCTAGTCATAGGTTAGACATGATAACCTTGTCTGAAGTTCTGTTTTCAAAGTGGTTATTCCACTGGCCTTCACAGAGTAGGACTTTTGGTAGATGAATATTTTGGAAATCCTTTGCTAGTAATCCAGCAGGATGCTGATGGTTTTATTTGATATTTATTTCCTTGATATAAAAGCAAGGAAAGAGATGTTAGACTTCTGTTATTATGGCCACATTGGAATAAGATGTTGTGAACATTTTTATTTCATGGACAGTGCAATCCGATGTGAAAGACCACGTAGTGCCAACCTGTGGTCATTCATTGGTCATTCACATGAATTCATGTGTGTATTTCAGGCATGTAGGGTGAGGAGAGGAACTTTTGGTGTTGTCCTCAGCATGGTTGGTAGATAGTACAGCTGCCATTGGAATGCTGTGACAGGAGCCATTCTGCTGTGGTCTCTGTGCAGAAAGGCTTGCCATTGGTAAAGGTGAAAAGCATTGCAGATGTTATCTTCCAAAAGCTGTACCCTGTTTTAGGTAGTCCACTGAAAGTCCAGTGATCCAAAATGATTGCTAGGAAGCTGGTTTCATTATACTGTCTCCAAGTGTTATTTTGTTCAAAACCCCAAGTTTCAGGGAAGAGGAGTCATCTATCCACACAATGGATGTAGATAAACTTTTTTTTTTAATTTTAAAAATTGATTTCCTCCGATGTCTGTGCAGCAGCTCTTTCAACTTGTCCTTAAAAAAGCTGGTTGTGAGAGTATAGAGGATTGGATTCAAAGCACTGTTTACTGGAAGAAAAAAAATCACTATCCAGGAAGTCATTGTGTCTGGAAAAGGAAGCAACGTGTGAAAAAAAAGTTGAAGTTTTAAATAGACATAAGATACAAATAACACTTTGCAGTCAATGCTATTTATGGGAGGGATATATAGTACATTTTAAGTTTTCTCTCACCTGATGGAAAATCTCTTTGTTGGAAGAGCACAGAAGCTATGAATTCAAGATCTTATGATTTAACTTTTCTGAGTTTCAGTAAATAATATGTAGATCATTGTGATATTAAGAGGAAATATGTGAAAACATTTTATAAACTATAAATTGCTATATAAGGCATTTTTCCCTCTATTTTATTGCCTACCTTTATAGGAAAATCACAAAATAAAGGAATAATTTTTAGATAATGGGGGGGGTTCAAGAAACTTCTGGTTCAGAAGCCAGATCTGACCTTGGTCTTAACTCCATTCAGTTCTTATTGCCCTGCCCTGGTGTTCTGGTTATCCTGTTATCCTATGAAAAGCTTTGAAGAGCAAAGAGAAATGTATCCCCTAAATTTGATAAAATTATCTTGTGTGCAACCTTACAAATGCTAATAGAATATTCAGGGAAAGAGGCCACAAGAAGTTCCTTGTGAGGTGAAATTTGGAATGATAGTGTCCTTCCTGAGAGCATCATTTGCTTGGTTAGCATGAAATGCATCTTCCCCTTTAAACGCAGCCTAATCCTGTGGCTGGACACTTAGCTAGGTGAGCGTGAGCGACCTAGCTTCCTCACTTAGACTTCCTCAACTTCGCCTGCTCTCTCTGTTAAAGGGAGTGGGGGAATAACTTGCTCACTGAATCCAGAGGGCTGGGCCAGAGTCAGCTCTGCTGATATGCTTTTTCGGCACTAAGACCTGAGATCCTCAAACCTCATCACATGATGCTACTTCCTCTCACATCTTCACAATTTCAAGGAACTCCCCACTCCGGTGGCTAGTAAGACCCATGATGCTTTCTCTCATCATCCTTTGTCTGTTCTCCTCCTTCTCAATCCCATAAATTGTTTATCCTTCAGATACTGTTACTCTGTTCTTCTCTTGACCCTGCCTGTTCCTTACATCTTTCTGTTCTTCCTCTCTGTCTTCTTCCTTTTCCATTTCTTTTCTGACTGCTTATCTGACCTTTTTTCCTCTTTTCCTTTGATCTGTTTCCTCTCCTTTTTTATATTTGCCTTCCTCTCTTCCTATCCTTCCTTGTCCTTATTTTTTTAACTGAAAGGAATATAAAAGAAAAAAGTATGTTTTAGCCTGTCTTTAATGAAATGAAGTTTTATATTATTTGTGCCTAATTAAAAAATTAGATGATCTGAATGGTCAGTGTTTGAAGAAAAACAAAGAGGCCTTTTTCTGTTGTGCTTGCAAAGGGAATTGTGACTGTGAATCCCACTCCCACCTCATAGAAAAACAATGCCTGATCGCCCTTTCTTTCAACTAGGCAAAGGCAAATGGACCATGTAAGTTCCATACATAAATTCCACTCTGAATAAGATCAGTTGTGTTCAGGGTGGTATGGCCATAGATGTAAGTTTCACTCTGAATGAGACTTCCTATAATATTAGCAGCAGCTGAGTTCTGAGATAGTTGGGCTAACTCTGGCCTGTCTTTTAGGTGACCCCAGGTACTGTCAACGACATGCCGTGACCAGTAAACCCTAGGCTTCTTAGAGGGTGAGGACAGGGTGGGTTTAGGTCAGTGAAGGCAGCATTTCTTACAACACCACGGGAAGCTGGGTGAGCAAGAAGAAGCTTTGTCAACTGTGATCATGACATTTTCCTGGTTCCACTGAGGTGTTCAAGACAAACCTCGGGCTATTGAACTGTAAATGTAAAGAAAGACCGGTGTGTGGCCTGATAATGTTTCCACAAGACAATTGTTCTAGTTCCCTTCATGGGGATATTTACTAAGCCTATCATGATCTGAGGTGTTGTAGACTCACTGAGGATGAGGAGCTCTGCTACCATCAGATGCCCTTGGTCACCAGAGGTCTCCTGGTTCTAAATCAGGGAGTATTATGGGCCAAATTGTGGTTCCCACTTCAATGTACATGTTGAAGCCCTAACCACCAATACCTCAGAATGTGGCTGTATTGGGAGATAGGGCCTTTAAAGAGTTGACTAAGTTAAAATGAGGTCGTTCGGGTGGGCCCGATTCCAACGGGACTGCTGTCTTCATAAGAGGGGATGTGGACACAGGAAAGGTGGCAGGGATGCACACACAGAGGAAAGGCCATGTGAGGACACAGCAGCGCAGACGCCTCCGTGAGGCAATGAGAGGGGCTCAGGAGAAACCAACCCTGCCGACACCTTGATCTCGGCATTCCAGCCTCAGAACAGGAGGTTCTTCGTTCTAGCAGCCCAAGCGGCCTCATACAGAGAGAAAAGCCTCACAGAAGATTAAAAATGGGCAGGAATTTGAGAGATCATCTAGAGATAGTTTCAGTGAGGTGAGGTGAGATGGTCTCCCTGAGATCCCTCAACAGGTCAGTGGCAGGGGCAGGAGAGGAATCCAGGCCCTCTTGTCTCGCTCGCTGCTGGGTCCTTCTTCCACCACACCAGCTGCATCACCTTGCAAGTGGGAAAGCACATCAAAAGGTGTGGAAACAGGGTCAGGCACAGTGGCTTATGCTTGTAATCCCAGCACTTTGGGAGGCCAAGAGGGGCAGATCATTTGGGATCAGGAGTTCGAGACCAGCTTGGCCAGCATGGTGAAACCCTGTCTCTACTAAAAATACAAAGATTAACCAGGTGTTGTGGTGCACGTCTGTAATCCCAGCTACTTTGGGAGGCTGAGGCACTACAATCATTTGAACATGGGAGGCAGAGGTTGCAGTCAGCTGAGATCACACCACTGCACTCTAGCCTGGGCAACAGACTCCCACCATCTTTAAAAAAAAAAAAAAAAGGCATCAAGACAGCAGTAGGGGGGGTGATGAGACTGATCCCCTATTCCATCACTCTTGGACCCACTCAGCTTCTTTAGTTAACTAAGCATTTACTCAAAAAACACTGTGTGAAAAACACTGTGGAAAATGTGCAGAGGAATAAGACATATCCCTCCTCCCCAAGCTTATAACCTGAAGGACGCAATGGGCACACTTGGAAATAGAGCTGCTGCTACGAGGGAGTTCACATGAGGCAGATAAATGAGGCGTAAACAAACCATCATGGACATTTAAGCAACTGGGTTGCATGGAAGCAGGGTGAGGAGAGATCAGAAATGGCACTGCACCATAGAAGAGAGAGCATTTGGGTTGAGCCTTGGAGGATGGGAAGGAGTGTTTAGTAGGCTAGAATCTTAGAGGGTGCAAGTATAATCCAGGCTGGAGGAACAGCTTCAGCAAAAGCTGATGTTTTCTCAGAAAAGAGCAGAAAACAAAGCCCAGTCATTCCAGTGGGCCTGGATCATAGTGTATGAGGGTGGGGTGGAAGGTAAGAAATATTATAATGCTCATCCCAGCACATGGACTTTATTCTATGAGCAGTGGACGACAATGGACACTTTTGTCCTGCTGAATTTGAAATGTTAGCATGTAAAATTGAGGTGTCCAGGTAGCAGTAATAGATTGGAGGCTGTTCATCAAGTGAACAACTGTGACCATTAACATTTAATTAACTATGTTCTTCACATGCCACTGGCTCTTCCCACGTGACCTCCCACAGAGCCTTCTTATGGCCTCTGCTCTCACCACCCAGCCAAGGCTTCCAAGTCTTCAGCCCTGATCTCCTTCCTAATTTCCACTTCCACATCCTACACGGCCTGAGGAACATCTGTGCCTTGTGGAGACAGAACTGATAGGTTAAGAGGATGGTATGAATGTTTTGTGGCATTTTGCAGCGAGACATTTGACACAGCCTCACAACTTCATGCACAGGAGGGACATAGGTTGTTACAGCTGTTTATCGTCTGTGCATTCATCACTCTTTCATAAGGGCTTTCAAAGTATCAGGAATCCTACTTGACACTGGGGAGCCAAGATGTATAAGACACAATTACTGTCCTGGATCAACTCCCAAGTAGATCTGTAATTGGCTGAAACCTTAGGTTGAAGATGATTCTAAACTATTTTACTAAGAGTCGGGTTAAAGCCCTGGGCGGTGCCTCCTAAATAGCTTAGATCTCTAGATCCCAGAAAGGGCTTCAGATGAAATTCTGGTAAGGAAAGTTGATTTTCTCTGGTTGAAGTAGGGGTGTGTGCAGGGAACTTGGCCTTTTGGAGGAGACACTTTCAGGGAATATATCATGCTCCGCAGAGCCCAGCATGCCACTTCATGGCCAGGACCATGGAATAGAATGGTGGTGCTAGGCAGATGTGTGCATCAGAATCACAGGGCAACTTTTACATAACATCCATCTATAGGTCTTAGCCTCTAGAGACAAAAACAGAGTCCCAGGTGGAATCTGGGTATATATATTTTGATTTTTTATGCATACTCCTAGTTAAGAACCAACATCTTGCTCGGGTAGAAGCAAGATACTCACACTTAGTTTCTTTCTAGCTCCTGCTTTTTATTATTCTTAGTTGGATTGTACCACTACTCTGTCGCTATTTTAGAATACTAATTATAAAACATGGAGGGAAATAATAACTCTTTGTCTTGAAACTGTAGGTTTTTATGGATAATTTATTATATGTCTTAGATTCTGGCCTTATCCAAAGAAGGATATAAGAAGGCACGATGTATTATACTTGGGAATGATAGAAGAGACTGACCTGGTATTTCCACCCGGAATAGGGAAAGTATTTTAATTACAAATACAGGAATCCAGCAGATGGCATCAGAGAACACTATAAAAAAGAAACGATTTGCAACAGCCACGTCTCTTCCAATGTGATTCCTTACTTCTGCGGTCTGCAAGGCGGTTTTTTGAATGGAACAGAACATAGTAATATAGGAAAACACAATGATGAGAAAAGCCAGCAAGTTCACACCTGTTGGGAAAAGCACACTTTTAACTTCTCAGGCGTAAAAGTCAACGGTAAAATTACTGTGGTACAGGTTGAATATCCCTTATCCAAAATATTTGAAACCAGAAATGTTTTGAATTTTAGATTTTGGAATATCTGTACATATGCAATGATGTATCTTGGAAGTGGTTCCCGAGTCTAAATGCAAAATTCACTTATGTTTCATATTCACCTTATACACATAGTCTGAAAGTAATTTTGTACAATATTGTGAATAATTTTATGCATGAAACAAAGTTTGCATCCATTGAGCCATCAGAAAGCAAAAGCTTCAGGTGTGAAATTTCCCACTGGTGGCATCATGTCGGTACTCAAAAAGTTTCATATTTTAGAGCATTTCAAATTTTGGATTTTCAAATTAAAAAATGCTTAACCTGTACTTAGATGTTAAATACAGTGCCTCTTCCACCGGTACTTCCAAGAAGCATTCTTTTATATAAGCCCGGTGGTGTTCAGCTAAAACCCAGATTCAAGGGAAGAAAAACAAAGAAATTGGGTTCACCAGATGAAAAAGAGATTTCAAATACATAAACCCTTATGAGGAATTCTATGCTTCCAAAATTCAGATCTAGGCATATCATGAAGTAAACTGTAACTCTTTTGAAGCATGCAAATAAGCTATTTTTGGTTTTAGCTCTCTGCAAATTCAAACCTTAAGAGATTACTGTAATCATACTCATCTCAAAAAAATAAATACAACCCCATTTTCTTATAAACATGAATAAAATAACCTTGGAATTTACCATGAATATAATTATCTGAGAAACATTCCTAATTTTTTTGGTCTTAAGAATAATACATAGAACAAAAGTGCATTTTTGTGTATTTTTTTCATGTTTCTTATAGCAATTTAAACGTATGGTTCAGAGCCTTTTAAACTAATTTAGTAAAAAAAAAAAAGAAGTAAGAAAAAAGTTCAAAATTCAACTTTGTGAATTACTCTTTTGGCCCCAGATATATTCACAAGATCCCCACTTAAGGTCACTATTCCCTTTTATACTGACTTCTTAGTCACTTGGTTTGCTTTATTCTTCCTGTCACTAAAATCCTGAGTGATCATCTCATTTCTCACAGTGAACATAAGAGTTGCATATATTTTTAAAGTTGTTAAAAAATATTAATCTGAACCTAGACTGTATGTAAGATTGGTGAAGTCTAGGGAAAAAATACTTTAAAGTTATCTGTTATTTTTATCCAAAACATTTCTTATTCCATGAAATTGCAGTATAAAGCCATACGGTAAAATTTTATAAAACTGGTTTGTCTTAGGCCTCTTTCCAAGAAATTTAGTTAAGTGTGAAATAAAATCACTCTGTTGGAAGATGCTCCCCTGGCCCAAATTCTGATAGCAGACTTGCAAAAAGGATCAAAACTGTATGTTCTAGGCTGGGCATGGTGGCTCACACCTGTAGTCCCAGCACTTTTGGAAACTGAGGTGGGCAGATTGCTTATGGTCAAGAGTTCGAGATCAGCCTGGCCAAGACGGGGTGAAACCAGGTCTCTACTAAAAATACAAAAATTAGCTGGGCATGGTGGTAGGCACCTGTAATCCCAGCTACTCAGGAGACTGAGGCAGGAGAATCACGTGAACCTGGGAGGCAGAGGTTGCAGTGAGCCAAGATAGTGCCACTGTGCTCCATCCTGGGAGACAGAGTAACACTGTGTCTCAAAAAAAAAAAAAAAAAAAAGTACGCTCTAAATGCACGATATTAACATACGAAAGATGTTAACAATGGCGAAAACTGGATGGAGCATATGTGGAAAATTCTACTATCTTTGTACCTTTTCTAAAATGAAAACTTTTTTCAAATAGAAATTAAAAATTGTGTATTCTTATATTCAAACCGAAAAAAATTGTACTTTAGAGTTCTGGGACTCCTCCTTTCATATGCAAATTGATGATGATTGTGTGTGTGTGTGTGTGTGTGTGTGTGTGTGTGTGTGTGTGTATGTTGTGACTATGTCTTTATCTATCTGGAATATATCCCGAATACTTAACCTTTTTGGGTTGAGCTCCATGCCTGCATAGTGTGATTCACACCAAGTTTCTCCAGCCCTTCATCTCACCCTGTTCCCTGGCTTTGGGCCTAGGAATCCACTATGTCTTCCTGGAACACAGACCCCACCCCACCCTCCTCTGCCTTCACTTGGCTGATGCATCCTCATCCTTTGGGTCTCAGTTTGAATTCATTTCTTTTGGGAAGCCTTCCCTGGTCCTCAGATCTGGGGCTCCTAGAACATGCTGTACTCTTCTGTCATGGCATTTATCAGCCTGTGTGTGATGTGAGGACATGTTGACTTGTCTGTTTCCTCCTCTGTGGTCTGTAAGGATTTTAAGGCTGAATTTGTTGTATCTCCAGCACCTAATATAGTATGTAGTGCACAGCCTATAGTAAGTGCTGAATAAATGCTTATTGAGACAATGCGTGCCATGGGTGTGTGTGTGTGTATGTCTGTGTATTTCAGGGAGTCTCTGTTAAGTGCACCTATGCTAGGAGCAATGAGGAGATGAATGTTAAGGAAATACAAAGAATAGCCTATAATACTCTGGATCCTGGGAATGATATATCTATGATCAAATAACTACCAAATAGGGTAGTGTGTGAGTGGTAGTACTAAAATGGTGCAAACGAAGTGTTTTGTTTTTCAGAGGAGGAAGAGAAAGAGTAGGTAGAGAAGAAGTGGGCACAATGGGTTAGGGTCATTTCATGATGAGTTTTAAGTGACTTATTTAAACTTGACCTTGTTAGTACTAGGGAGCCATTGAAGATCTCTGAGTGGAAGTGTACACAGACCTTTTGATAGTCAGACTATAACAATGGTAGTGAACAGATAAACTGGAGGGAGGGGAAGGCCCCACAGGTTAAAAGACCAGTAAGGGCTAAGGTAGTAATTCAGAGTCGAGATATTAAGGTTCCCAAATGAGGCAACAGCAGTGGGTAGAGACTGGAAGGAGCAGCAACAGGAGCAAATTTTGATGGAAAAGAAAGGATAGGAGAGCTTGTTGACTCCTTGGGTAAGAAGAAAAGATCAGAAGGGAGAGTCAAAAGAGTATTGCCCCCAGGAGAGGACATGGGAGTGGCCTTAATTTTAAGCAGGAGGGATACATATTAGAAAATAGAAAAAAAGTATTTTTAACTTTAAAGGGCTAAACTTTTCATTCATTTGTAAGAGAACAGAGTCTTCTTTCCCAAACATTAGGAGGAATTGAGAAAACTGGAAAGGAAAGAGCTTTATTAAGCATCCTAACATTGCTGACTTAAGAGTATTTAATAAAAGCAATAAACCTTCCTGGTATTTCCATTCAGATATCTCTCACTTGTCAGTTTCCTGAATTTTATGATTATTTGTTTAACTCATAACTAGATTGTAAAAAAAAAAAAAAAGTTTAAATAATTTGGTAGGGTTACAGGATGAGGCACTAAACTGGAATTCCTCCAGCTCATAGTCATTCATATAAACATGAAATCAAAGGATCTTATGGCTAATGAAAAAATCATCCAGAGATTCTGGTAGTATGTCTTTGTGGCCCATGCTAAATCTTGTCTAATAAAAAGTTTAATAAAAACTTCAATAAATACAATAGTAAAAACTTTTTTTTAAAAGGACACAGTCTTAACTATATGACCTCACTTTCTGAAATAGACAAATCCACCTTTGCTGGAATTTAAAGTATTTCTAGCAAAATTACGTTTTTACAGGAAATGAAAAAGTGTAATTTACCTAGGAAAATTCCAAGGGAATACCCTTTGCTTCCAATATCTTCTGTTTGGTCATAATAAAGTGGGAAACATACTCCATTTTTCCCATAAAAGTTTCCAAAGTAATCCTCATTCCAAAATGGAATTACAGCTATTAAAAATCCGGCCATCCAGATGCAAATGAGGATGACTGAGGTCTGCCGTTTTCCAGGCCGAATGTTACTGAAGGGGAAGACAATGACCAGGAACTTCTCCAAAGTCAAGTAGGTCAGTAGCAGGACAGAGACTTCGGTGGACAGCATGGCCAGGAACCCCATGAGGCGACACTGCACGCTCTCCATCCACAGCAAGGCGTATTTCTGATACTGCCCTCGGTATTTTATATCGAAAAAGCCAACAAAGAACAAGTAAACACCCATCAGGCAGTCAGCACCTGTGGAAGAATTCAAACAGCATAGGTTGTCAGTTTCCAGTGTCTCTGTTTTCGTTTTCCAATTAAGTCCATTTCCAGCATTTTAATTTTCTAATTAGATCTAGTTCCTTTCATCTTATATTAAATGAACTAGTATAAACGTCTACCAGAGTATTAAGAAGTGAATGGACTTAAAAACCCGTAATATTTCTAGCTGGGTACAGTGGCTCATGCCTGTAATCCCAGCACTTTGGGAGGCTGAGGTGAGTGGAGGTCGGGAGTTCGAGATCGGCCTGACCAACATGGAGAAACCTCATCTCTACTAAACATACAAATTACCCTGGCCTGGTGACACATGCTTGTAATCCCAGCTACTCGGGAGGCTGAGGTAGGAGGATTGCTTGAACCCAGGTGGTGGAGGTTGTGGTGAGACGAGATTGTGCCGTTTCACTCCAGCCTGGGCAACAAGAACAAAACTCCGTCTCAAAAAAAAATCTGTAATATTTCTAAAGTACTATACTATGTTTTTATTTTATAGTTTAAAAAAATAGAAACAGGAGTTTTCTGGAAATTGGAAGGGCTAATTGTTAAACAGTTAACATGTATTATCTTTATAGTTAATAAAGGGAATCATTTTCTGGCCATAATGAGCATAGGTGTCATTGTAATTGAAGTTAAGCTTAATTTTATCACCCACAAAACTTTATAATCTATCACTTGACTCATTGGTTTCCTATTACCCCATTCCCAAGACGTACTCCTGAGAGCAGGCCACCGTAAGGTCATACAACTTAAAACAGAGCCACAAAGAGCCAGAACTTTTATACTTAGAAAAAAAATATGCCTAGGATGTATAATTCATATTAAATGCCATTTGTTGAAAGCCAGTAAATACACACACACACACATGCAAACACACACACACACACACAGAGAGAGAGAGAGAGAGAGCGAGACAGCGCACACAGCTCACAGATGATATCCTAAATCTACTTATATTGGAAACATACTTACAACAAAGGATTTTGATGGACATAGCGTGAGTTGTATTTTCAGCTTTAATGAAAGATCTCATGCCAATGACAAAAAGATTTCCAAAGCAGGTAATGAAAGCTATAACCCAGACAAATATTCTGAGGATATCGTTAGCCAAGAGGTCCTCAAATGAAGAAATGCCGTCAGTCAAGGGCATGCATATTCGGACATGGGGAGCATAGGAGCAGTATCGGAAGTTTTTGAAATAACTAAAGTCAAAGGGGAAAAAAGTGTCACTTTGCAGCAATGATGCAGAAACTACGGGTGCAATCCTATCGGGGCTGCAACTGTATGCTAGGTATACAACTTCATGGGTTCATTTATTTTTGTTTAGTAGTGTTTACATAATTAAAGAGTTCTTCATGAAATACTAGGCAATATCCTTTTAAAGATAAGGAACCTAAAGGTCCTAGGAATTCAGTGGCTTGGCTGAGGAGAGTTGGGGTGGATATGAAAATTTGAAATTTAAGGAGTCTGTGTTCTCTAGTCACATTGGTTTATTGATTATTCTGTGAGATATTATGAAAAGTGGATTATCATTGTCAAAGTGATCTCTAGCAAACCTTCAGGGGCTTGGGTTTGGGATGGGAAAAGTCTGTTGTTGCTCGCCGAGAACATTTCTGTCTTGCCCTGAGTTTTAAACACCGAGGTTTATTCACTTTAGCCTTCTCTTCCCTAACACTGGTAGGAAGGAAGGGCCTCTGATACTAGGAAAATGCAGTTTCACTGGATCTGGGAAGAGAAGCAGCTGCCTTAAACACAGATTTCTTACCGGGGTTGGGAAGGACTTAATTTCTATGGGAGAATAAGTTTGTGTGTGGTCAGTGGAGATGGGATCTGGGCAGAAAGCATCTGGAAGTGCTGGAATTAATTGGTGAGGTCATTCGGCCATTGCCATTCCCCAAACTTGTGTGTTTAGAACTTTTTCTCATAAAACTTATTCTATTTTTATTCTATTGCTACTTCTTTAAGTTCATGTTTTTACCCTTCACTGTCAGTTGAATTCATTTTTTTGTTATTTCTCAGTTCCGTTTCTAGACCAAGGCTGCCTGCCATCAAACCCTGGCTGCCTGCACCACCTTGCCTCTTACCCTGCAGCGCTTACTCCACCCAGACATACACCGTCAGACAAGCCACGCTCATGCCCTGCTCAGAGCCTCGCTTTTGCTTATGCCCTTTCTTGGAAGACTCTTCCCCTGGATACTGCCAGGGCTGCTTTCTCCCTCCATTCAGGTCTGCTCAAATGTCACCGCACTTCACCTTCCGTCCACCCCACCTCAGTGGTAATCCTCAGTCTTCCTTCTATCCCTTACCTTGCTCTATTTAAATTTGTATACCTACTCACTATTTATTTGTTTGCTCCTTTACTCTCTGGTTCCCAAAGCTAAATGGAGGCTCTCAGGCACAGACATCCTCTCTTTTGTTCATCATTGTGTCCCTGGTGTCTAAAGCAGTGCCGGGCACATGTAGGTACTCAACAAATGCTTCTTGGATCAGCAAGTGGATGAGGAATAATTTAGCTCTGGGTATGTACGGAAGAGAAACGGGGCAATTTTTGCCTTCAAGTAGCTTACAGTTCAGCTTCCTAATATCTATCATCCAATTAAAGGAACCTGACCTATAACAAACTCTTTTCTTCTCCCTCCCTGGAGTCCCAGGCACACCCTTGGCTTGATTTCTTGGTCCTTTTAGAATTCTATTATGTCCGCTATCTTCAGGTAGAACCATCTAGCATCTCTCAGTGGTTCAGGCCCCCTTGTGCTGTGACCACACTACTTGTTGACAGGTGAAAGGGATGGGGGTGACAAGGTGGGGGTGTTTTAATAAACAAAGGACAACGAATGTGAAAGACGAGTAAGTAGATTACTTAACAGAGAAGTAACTAAGCTAATGTGTTTTCTGTTCATTGCTGAGCCCTTCTTGACCTTGGCCTGAGGTCTACGTTTAATATAGCAGCTTCTCCATCAAGTTCTATATAGGTTGAGTTTCTCTATTCTAAGAAGACCTCATATTCTGCCTACAAGAAGGAAATGATATCCTCATTAAATATCTAATGGTGCCACAGAAAAAAATGAACAAAACCATGTGGAAATGCATCCAACGACACTTGTCTTTGAGTAATCACACCTACTGCACAGACATAAACAAAATGTTCTCCCAAAAGAGCACCTTCGCAGCAACCATTCCATCCACTTGCTGCACCCGACTTGTAATCTTACATGAAATCCTCCCTATTTTTGTGGATAACAATGGTTAATTTTTGAAGTTATGAACACATAGATTACACAGTTGATAAAGAAATAATTATGTTATAAACACACATATTAACACAACTTACACAGTGCACTTTAGCCAAATATACTAAAGTGACTTATCAAAAACTACTATAAAGATTAATTACCTCCATTTTGTAGTGCACTTAGTAACAGTAACAACACCTGGAATTTATATGGCACCTTTCTTCCTAAGGGCTCAAATCTTAGAGCAGCCGACTGCTCATTCATGTGAGGTGAATTAATGTTTCCAGGTCGCCTTAGTACCATTTAGCCAGTGACTTCATCTTGTGTAATATGTGGCATTCTGGTACCCTGATCTCTTATTGGGCCTCAATTGGATAAACAGCGTGTTTCCAGAGAGAAGGGTCATTCATGTCGGCACATCATAATATTGAACTCTATTTGAACAGGGACCAAAGGTGACAAAATTAAAAAGTTCTCAATAAAATGACTTTTGTTGCATAAAAACACATTGCAGTGATACATTAGACAGTTTACATGAGAGCATTTGAAACATTTTACCATGCTTCCTCCTCCATTTTCTATACATACATACATGTGAGAAAGATTCTTCATGGGTTGAAACATTCGTGTGTTTATATTTGGAATCTCTATCCTTTCCAGGTCTCTGGAAAATACGCACAATAGGTTTAATGGTGTTGAGATAAAACATTTTAATAATGCATTCTTCATCATATCTGAAATACAGTGCTTCAAGATCTTATGTTACCAGTACACAGTAGGATGAAAGCTTTAAAGCACATTGTCTTAGAAAATGGCTATTTCAGCAAAGACCTGGAACCAACCCAAATGCCCATCAATAATAGAATGGACAAGGAAAATGTGGGACATATACACCATGGAATACTAAGCAGCCATAAAAAACGATGAGTTTGTGTTTTTTTGCAGGGACATGGATGAATCTGGAAACCATCATTCTCAGCACACTGACACAAGAACCACATGTTTTCACTCATAGGCAGGTGTTGAACAATGAGAACACATGGGCACAGGGAGGGGGACATCACACACTGGGGTCTGTTGGAGGCGGGGAGTTTCAGAGGGATAACACTGGGAGAAATACTGGATGTAGGTGATGGGGGATGGAGACAGCAAACCACCATGGTATGTGTATACTTATGCAACAGTCCTGCATGTTTTGCACATGTACCCCAGAACTTAAAACACACACACAAAAAAGATATGAAACATTTTGCAGTCTTAAAAAAAAACGGCTATTTCTATTTATACCTCCTGCAGTTTGGCACCGATTGTATCTCTTCACAGGCAGAATTACATTCTAATAGAATATATTCATTGATTTCTTTGATGTGTGATTATGAAATTGGCTCTGTAGTTTGATTTTATTAATATAAGTAATGCCATGGGAATGAGAGGGTTCATTTAGGAGATGATATTCCCAACCTGAGAGCATCACTGAAGTGAGTTTTGTGAGACTCTGGATTTTAAAATATGGTCAGTTCTTCCTGGCCTATGTGTCTTTAGGACAGAAAACCACGGAGGTAGCAAGAGGAACTCCAACTTAGGAGTTTTCTAAGACACCAGTGGTGTGCCTTAGAATTCCTTTAATTAAATTTAAATTATATTTAATTAAATTCCTTTTAATTCCTTCAGGCCCCATAAAATGTCCTTAAAGGGATTCAAGGATCACTCCTATTTTAGTTTACCTCAATGCTTTCTTCTACAAATGTGGACACTTTGGAAATCTCTTTAGGATGGTATGAATTAAAAACTGCCATGTTCTCAGGAAGCAGATGGAAGGAGAACAATCTAAAAAGACGGAGGCCTTTTGCTTTTAATGTTTATTTGAGCTATGTCTGACTCTCACTTGGTTTCTTTTTGACTAATCAGAAGAAGGATTTCCCAACATGGCTGAGTTTTTCTTTGCTCAAGGAAACATTGCTTTTTGGAAGTCAGAAATGAAATCTGGGAGAGCTGTTATACTACTGAGTAATTGCATGGCCCCTCTAGCCAGAAACAACTCTTTCTAAAAGTTTCATTTTCCTTCTTCTTTTTTTTTTTTTCTCTCTCTCTTCTTGGCTTATACAGATTTAGCTTTATGAGGATTCTGTGATTATTTGATTAATAACCTATAGCATCCTGAAGTGCAGAGGCCACTGTATCCCAAGTGCTAAGACAGTGCTTTGTGTAAGTTGGTGACTGAGACATGTTTGTGAAATAAATGGGTAAATGAATCTTAGAGAAAAAAAAAAAAGAAATATCACCAGGCATGGTGGCTGATTCCTGTAATCCTAGCACTTTGGGAAGCTGAGGTAGATGGATTGCCTGAGCTCAGGAGTTTGAGACCAGCCTGGGCAACGTGGTGAAACCCTGTCTCTATTAAAATATAGAAAAAAAGCCTGGTGTGGTGGCATGTGCCTGTAGTCCCAGCTACTTGGGAGGCTGAGGCAGGAGAATCGCTTGAACCTGGTGGGTGGAGGTTGCAGTGAGCTGAGATCGCAGCATTGCACTCCAGCCCGGATGACAGAGCAAGACTCCATCTCAAAAAATAAATAAATAAATAAATAAATAAATAAATAAAGACCCTAAAAAAAAAGTAGAAACAAAAAAAGAAAAGTATGTGATACATAGTTGCTGCTTTGACTTTCAGGAAGGCATTATGCAGTGACTTGGTGTTTTGGCTTTCAGAAATGCAGTGTGTGGTGAGTAAAGGGAAGAATCACGCTGTGCACATCCTGAGGTCTGTCCTTACATTAAAAAAATAAATACATATGTTTAATATTCTGGCTTCTTGAGAATAGGGACCAGGTCTTTTCATCAGTGGATGCTTACTAATATCTGGTGAGAGAGAAATCGAAACCTTGCATTAATTTCCAATAGAAAATCAGCAAGAATAAAAGATGATTTTAAGAACTGGTCTTCGGAATTAAAGGAAGAAACACTTTAGGCTGCAGCCAGGCAATGTAGTATGTTCTCTGTGTGAAAAGAAACAATCTTTAGCTGGTAATTGTCATGCCTTGGAAAGAAATCATGAAGTTCAAGGGAAAAGTGGCAGAGTTCTTGACACCATTGAAACTTAATGTGGTTGAAATTCAAAAATGCTGTACGCACATTTTCTGAATGTGTGTATTTGTGGGATAGTTTTTAAAAACTTAATCAAAAGTAAAACAATACACTGTAGACTAATATCAAGTAGATCCTTGTAGGAAAGGGCAAAGGGGAAAAGGAGGAAGTCAAAAATAACTAAACTTTTAGAACCAAAAGTATTGCAAATTTAATTCTTTGTGAAAACTGTAGGATGAGATTTTGCCATATGAACGTAGTTTTCAAGAAGGACATTCTTGAAAACTTCTTCAAGTGTAAAAATGACCTTCATACATGGTAAATGTGTAAATGGTGAAAATGGTAAACAGTGAGGCTTATTTGTCATTCAGTATGTACTTGACGGCTTCAGTGATATTCACAAGCATCTGAAATGCATGCTCTTGTGTGTAAAATACCCATTTAAATATAAATATGTCTCTAAGTACATCCACTAAAATTGTAATCAACATAACTGTAATATTTCACTTACAGAGACTGAAGTTGTTTAAGACTTTCAAACTGGTTCTTGTGAAGATACATAAGAGGATTGGATGACAGGTTCCTTTTTTTTTTAACATTAAAAGGGAGAGGAAAAGAAGTATGAAGGTGTTATTATTTTGGAAGCTCAAAATGTTGCCCTTTAAAATCTGATACGGTGAGAAGTAGAACTTACAGTTTTTGTAGAAGCTTCAAGTCTTTAAAGAGGTGAGGTGATAGCTCCATTATCATATTGCTAGACAGATCCCTGTTGATGACAATGAAAACCCAAAGCAATTACTTTGGAAGTAAGTGACAGAGTTATTACTCCTCACAATTATCATCATCCCATTTGATGTAACAGAAAATATGAGTCCACTTTAACCAACCTGATAACTTGTTGCACAACAGGGCCATATGAGTCAGCCAAATGGATAGGCTTTCCATCACTTACAGACATATAACATTTTGCTTATCCAGTTCCTGTCTGGAATTTCCTCTTACCCTCTCTCTAATACATTCACAACCTGGCTTTCATATCTACTTTGATTAATTTCCCCCTGCTCTTAGTACTCTTTGTACACTTCCACTCTTCATGCTTCTATGATCACTACTTGCTTCATATACCTGGTCTTACGTTTATCCAACTAAACTTTTCAAGGTCAAGTCTTGCATCTTTAATTTTTTTTTGCATTCCAACTAAGACAATATTGTTCACTCAGTATCTGCCCAGACAATCTTGAATAAGTTCACACACTTTTAATATGTTCTTTTTTCTTTCTTTCTTTCTTTTTTTTTTTTTTTTTTTTTGAGACGGAGTCTTGTTCTGTTGCCCAGCCTGGAGAATAGTGGTGCGATCTCAGCTCACTGCAACCTCCGCCTGTCAGGTTCAAGCAATTCTCCTGCCTCAGCCTCCCTTGTAGCTGGGACTACAGGTATGTGCCACCACGCCCGGCTAATTTTTTGTATTTTTAGTGGAGACTGGGTTTCCTCATGCTGGCCAGGCTTGTCTTAAACTCCTGACCTCATGATCTGCCCACCTGAGCCTCCTAAAGTGCTGGGCTTATAGGCATGAGCCACCACGCCCAGCAATATGTTCTTATAAAAGACTATTTTTGTAGAAGAAATTGTGAGTTTAGAATTAAATATAATAGAACTGTCCAATCCAGACAGAATTCTATGAAAATGACTATAAAATGTGGAAAAGAGACCTGTAAAAATCAGAAGAAGTGAATCTTTAAGAGTCCAGAATATTTTTCTGAGCCAGAGAAAGTGTTAAAGATAAAACAGATATATAGTTGCTTAATTTAGAGTCAAACAAAAATGATCTCTTTTGACACTCTGGAACTGCTGATGGATATGTGGGAGTTACAAACAATGAAGATATAGCTCTTTCTATAAAGAAGCTTACATTTAGAGTAACATCTAGATAGAAACAAGGAAAGAATCAAACTGGTGCTGTTATAGAAGTGCAGAGAAAACATAGAGGAAAGAGTCATCAGTCTTGGCCTTAGGACTTTAGGAAGTCTTAGAAGAAAGGTTGATGATTTTAGGTGGGGTAAAGGAAGAGCAGCTTCTCAGGTCGGTGTGAAGCATGAGCTGAACCACAGATGCTGAGAATTCAGTGACCCTGTTAGGAATCAGGAAGTGGTCCAGCATGGGTGGAGGATGGAAGATGTACTGAGAGGTAGAGGATGTCAACCTGGAGAGTGCGTGGAGACAAGGAAGGTCATGCATGCTCTTCAAGGCAGTAGTTTTCATAGCATAGACCAGGTATCCAATCCCCAAGGATGCTTATAAAAAGGGCACATCCCTGGGACCCAGAACTATCACATCAGACTTTCTGGGTGGGAGCCTGGTAACATGCATTCAAGCCAACATCCCATGTGATTCTTTAGCACATTAGCATTTGAGAACTGTGTCAAAGACTTTGCTAAACACCAGGCAACACAGAGTGAGGACATTAAGTAGGGCAGTGGCATCATTTGCTCCAGCTTATGGAATGATTATTCTGTCAGAAGCATGAAAGACAGGCAGCAAGGCCTGGGAGTCGGGGGACGAAGACGAGGCAGGAACTTCCACATGGACCGGGTGAGAGCGGATGAGGGCTTAAGCGGGACAGTAGCAGGGCTCAGGGTCTGGTTGAACATGTGTTAAGAGAGAGGTAGAGGGAAACAGAACAGTCTTCAAGCCTGGCTGCCAGGAAAGAGGCACTGAGATGGTTAAGTCCAGGTGAAGAAGCTGGCCGTCAGATTGGGGTCTCTTGTTAGTTTTGTTTCAAATGGGTTGCTTTTGAGGTGCTGTTGTGACACCACAGCCTGCGGTCCTGCCGACTAAGCTGTCTCACCTGGTGGTGTTCCAGGTGGGAGGAGCACACCTGGATCACAGCCCAGAAGGGAAACTGCAGATGCATACAGGCCAGAGAGAGCCTGACAATAGAGCAATATGATGATGATCTCATATGCCTAGAAAATGTCTTTGAAAGGGTTACCCAGGAAAATAAAGCACATTCTTTTGGAGGAAAGGAGTTTGGCGGCCTCATGTACTTGTACTCGTTCCTCCCTGGATGAGCTTCTTGTCACGAAGGGACAGTAAAATCATTTAACATTTGTAAACTCAAGACATATGAGTGCCTTGTTCAAGTTAAGCCTACCCACTTCTGAACTTCTTTTAGCTTTCTGTGGCTAAACCAATTGCAATGGATCACTACAGATCTTAATAGCAAGCTGCATCTCTTAAGTATGCTCTTATTTTTGGTGTGCCTCTGCCTTATATGTAGGATGAGAAGAGGGTTAAGAAAATTTTTACCCCTCTGTTTGTTCTGGGTTATTCCTCCACTCCACCATGCAACTCAAGTCCACAGTCACCCTGCAGAGCCTGAGCAGGAACATGCTGAAAGGAAGTCTCCTCTGAGTGAGCTGCCTTTAAGTTTTTGCTATAAAATGATCATACTTTGAGTTCTAATGTAGTACTTTGCACATACCAGATACTTCATAAATATGTATGGATTTGATTTATGATGGTCATTAATTAGATTGAATTACCTTAATTATTCATGAGTTATTTTTCGATTATTCTTATTATTTTCTCCAGTCCTTTCTGGATTTCAAAATAAGGTGTAAAGAACAGGGAGAGGTTAGTTCAGAAATTAATTTCCATTTTAAGGCCTCGATCAGAAAGATCAGTTTTCTATCCTAATCACTGCTATGTGTAATGTAACAGACTTAATTTTAACTTCCATTGATACATAATTACGTGGGGGAGCAAGGAATTAAAAGCAAGAGAAATGATTTAAAAGGTTTAGATACATAAAACAAATATTTGAAGAGAAAAAATTCATATGAGCTCCCTGAATATTTTTCGGTGAGCCCAACCCTCACTCTCAACACTGAGATTTGCTATGTAAGTCATAATTTCTCAAGAAACAGCAAGCATCTTTGTTCCTTTGTTCAGTTAGAATGAATTAATATTATTTGTTAGTCAATTATTCATTATCAAATATTTATTGAGAATTAACTGTACTCCAGCCAGTAGAAAGAAATGATCCCTGTGTTTAAGAAGCCATGGAAAACTCATTTACTCCCAAACACACATAAATAAGAAATCACCCAAAGGAAACAAGTAGGGAAACTAGAGTAGGCTAAATCCATATTAAGCCCACTGTCTGATTTGAATGTGCTTTGGATTTCAGGATAATGTTGGTTTTCTTAATTGATTTTTAATATCCAATAGTCTACAGGATTTGATTGCTACTAGTGGCAAAGCAGTCTCACTAGTCATTTAAATTTGTAATCTCGGAAGAAGCAATCATATTTTCCTAGTAGACGACGCTACTTACAGTTCTCCTAAATTTTTTAATGAAGAAAATGTCTTCTCTGGAACAAAATCAATTTGATTTCTAGGCAGAAACCTGTAAGACATGGCGAGAATCAGCATGTGGGTTTGCGTCTGCTGTAGTAATCAGTTCTCATTGGGAGAGACCACTGATCCAGGCGGAATATCTTAAGCCTCCTTTGAAGTCTTCAAGGGAGGTGTCTTTTGGAGTGGAACCTAAGGAAGAACTTTCTCACTGAGGACATCCCCATGTTCTCAAATTGCTATCATGAGCAATTTGCGGTCCTGAGAGTGGTTTAGAAAGCTGCACTTTGTTTAGATCTAATTATTTTAGAAAATGTCTCTTTTAATTTTCCTTTTCCATTCTTTTTTCCAATCACCCATCCAATCAACAAACATTACTAAGTGCTTGCTAAATGCGGAAAACTATCATTAAAACAAAACCAAAACACTCATGTTTCGAAGCTTTCCAGCATGAATGCACTGATTGACCACACCGTCTGCCTTCCCACCCCTATGAAAAACATAAGCGGTCATCAGAATCACGAGTCAGAATCTTTGGCCAATCAGAATACATTAGATGTTTTTCCTTTTAGAATGAAATTATGATTTTTTTTTTCTTTAGGGAGAAAGACATCAAGTGGTAAGTCATTAGCTAATCATTGTACAGCTAATCATGGTACAGCTAACCACTTCCACATACATGATTTCTTTCCTTGGTGACCATGGGGTTAGGAAACTGGAACTTTCAGGTCCCAGTTCATCTGAGAAGGTGCACAGAAATAAGGAAGGCATATGGTGTCCCTAAAGGGTGGGCATCTTAACTCGAGACTCAACCCCGGCATCCAAATCAATAAATCAATGCGTGCATTTTCTAGCACTGCAGTGTCAGACCAAGGCTGTAAACAAAACGCTATTTTAAAAATTCTTTGTCGATGTTTTTCTTTTAAATTCCGAATATATAGAGTTTCCCCTCATTTCGTGAAGTCCATTGTATACTTACAGCACTGTGAGCGAATCACACGACAGAAACGTAGAATTCGTGAGATACTTTATTTGATTGCCTTCCAAATCCCTGGAAGTCATGGAGAAAAGATATTTCAATTTTTTTTTGTACAAACCATGTGCTTACAGATACTTTTTGGTAAAATAGTTCTCAAATTTATTTTTACTTTATTCCAGTTGTTACTGTGCTTTCCCCTAATTATTTCAGCGTTAGTATAACTAGTATTATGCTTCCTTCCCCCTTCCAACTAAGGTTAATAAAACTGAGAGAAAGGGCAGCCTAACATTTAGTGAGTGTCTTTCTGTGCTGAACACTATGCTATTAATTATAATATTGCCCAACCTATCATAAACTACCATTGATTGGGCTTTTATGGTGTTAGGTGCTGTTCTACATGCATAACACAGCACTCCTGCCAAATTGTTATTACCCTCCCCCCCATTTAACATAAGAGAAATCCAAGGCTCTTGGTGATTCACTCTCCTTCTGCCCACACAGCTAGTAAGTGGTAGAACTGATCCAGCCCAGATCTGTCAGAATCTGAAGCCTAGATACTTAACTACCATGTCTGTGGCGTCACTGATCATTATATCCTCACATTGCCTCCAACATCAGGTAGATGTTTTTGTCTCTATTTTGCTGAAGGAGAATCTCAGGCCAAAGTTATCCTGTACATTCTGAACGGCAGAGTCAGGATGTGAACCCCGATCTGTGTGATGCCAAAGTGCAGGCTCTTCCTATGGGGCCTCGAGGACACTAATGCCAAGGGCACCGCTGCTCAGAATGGCGGGGACGCAGCCTCAGTGCTGTCTGGAACGTGCTAGAAATGCAGATTCTCGCCGAAGACCAGCTGAATCAGAAACTCTAGCACTGAAGTCCAGCCATCTGTGTCTCAGCAAGTCTGCCTGTTGTTTACGATGCCCATTGATGTCTCAGAAGCACTGGTGGGGAGATTTCATTATGCCAGGTGATTCTGCAGGTCAGTGGCATCCCACACACTTGGGCAGCATCCTCTGGAACACTCTGACATTCCCACTTTGAACAATGCGGGGGACTAAGAAACAGACAAGTTTTCTGCCAAGTCTCCTGATTTCTCTTCATAGTCAGCTTCTGACAGCCCTCCCCAAATATGGCAATAGCTATCTCTCTGCTTCTGAACTTTTCTCATAGTTACATTAAAATCACCAATCCCTTTGTCTTTTAAAGAAAATCCTATTTTAAAATCATCTTGGAGATTTGTGTAGGAACTTGAGATGTATGTTTTTCACACAATATACTGTGATTAAAAATAACAAACACCATACTCTCTTAAAAATCCAAATACTGTGAAGTAGAATGGAAAAAATGTTTTTCGTGTTCTCAGAAGTAGGACACTTTGGGGTTGTAGGAGCAATTGTCCAACTCGATAGCAAGTCACGGAGAAGGAGAAGCTTCCCCAGGGCAAATTTTCTCCTGTCTGGCCTTTCTTCCTGTCTGGCCTCTCAGCTGCCTGCCCTCTGTGTTGAAAGGCTTTCAATTGCAATCAGGCTGTCTTGCTACCTATGCCTTTTTCTTGGGTGTCTATTTTTTTCTCAAGTGTTTGTGGGAGCCCGTTGTGAACATGAGTGTCTAGAACCCCTCAGCTCTGAGGCTGGTTCCTCACCTCTTGCTGACCGATGCCCCTTTTGGGGAGGGAGAGCAGGCTGAGCCCCTAATATTTTTCTGCTACTTTTACTCTTTCCTGTGTGTTTCCCACTGTGCGGATGCACTCATTTAGTTTCTAAGTATTTTCTTTTTACCTATTCTTATTCTCATGGTGTTCAGATCGTTATTTCCGTTTTTAATAGTGGCACACTTACACGAGACTTCTGTTGTTTTAGAAGCCTTTTAGCAACATATATTTAAATACATACATAAAAATAAAAGTCAGAAAATAAACACAACACCACCTAATAATGTCATAACAGGAGATTTTGACGTTAGTTCAGCTCAACTAACACTTTATCATCTTATGGGCTTGAGTTGCATGATTAGACTGGAAAGAGTTCCAGCAGTGGTACCATCATTTTCATGCAACAGGAAAGCAATGGATGTGACAATCCTGGTTGTTGCAGAATACTGTGAAGGTAATGTGGCAGGGAGTGGTGGGTAGTGGTGGTGAAGCTACTATGTAAATTAAATAAGTATTTTAAACGGGTATTGGTTAAAAGCTAACAAGGTGTGGAAATGGTTTAGTAAAGCCATCCTAGCAAAGGCTTTTTGAGCACCTACAATGTGCTGGTCATTGTCCTAATGCAGGGGTAGGAAATCATATGATAGCCTTCTGCCTTCCCAGAACTTATGGAACAGTACAGATGACGTAAGCACTGAGGTGGGTGGATCACTTGAGGTCGGGTGTTCAAGACCAGCCTGGACAACATGGTGAAACCTCGTCTCTGCTAAAAATACAAAAATTAGCTAGGCCTGGTGGCACATGTCTGTAAACCCAGCTACTTGGGAGGCTAAAGCAGGAGAATTACTTGAACCTGGGAGACAGAGCTTGCAGTGAGCCAAGATTGCACCACTGCACTCCGGCCTGGGCAACAGAGTAAGACTTGGTCTCAAAAAAAAAAAAAAAAAAAAAAAAAAAAAAAAAGACATAAGCAAGTTACCCAATGATTATATGACGATAGTGCTCTGAGATAGGTATGAGGTATAGAAAAGGGGCAGTGTGGTAGAGTTTTGTATGTGATGCAATGGGTGGGAGTACATAGGCAGCTGCTGAAACTGGTTGGTGTGTCAGGAATGGCTTCCTGGAGGTGACGTTTACGTTGACAAAAATGTCTTTTGAAGGAAAAGTTAGTCAAAAGAATAAGGGAGCAAGAATTTTCAAGTCCAAGGAACAATATATGCTTAGGGAATTGACTGTAGGAGCTATAGTTTGATACATGCATAGGAGGGGCAGGGACAGCATCTAGATGCACTAAGGAATGGAAAATGAGGGTCTTGGGTGCTCAGAGGCAAGGTCAAACTTTACCCTCACCCTTTGGGAGCCCTCAAAGAATTTTGAAACTGGGAAGGTAATATGATCAAATTTTGGTTTTGGAAAGAAATTATAGATGGACTTTCTAGGTAACCTTGAATTAACTTTATGGCTAGTTTCCTTAATCAGGGCAAATGACAAATTACATCCTACACATATACTCACACCCAGTTGAGTTGAGGCATTTGGGCACACATCTGCTTGGGAAGAGCTTCTAAGTAGTTATTAACCATAGACCTTTACACAAAGAAAATGTTAATTAGAAATAAAATGATATGACACTTTTAGGACAATCTTTATTCTAAAATTTCAAAACTTGCATGCTAAAATTAATATCTTGTGATGAAGAACATATACAGCTATTTTAAAATGGTCTTTAAAATATGTCTATGGCAAAAATTAGGGAGCAGATATTGTCAAGGAAACCATGAATGCATAAGTATGATATATATCCTGGAAATAGATGTTATACAGTTTAATTTTATGAGATGAAACAAAAGTACATATTGGGTAATAATTTTGGAGTTCATGATAATTTTCCTTGTAAACTTCATGATGTAATCATTTCCAATGCCATACATCCAAAGTTTCTTCTTAAGGGCATCATTAATCATTTATAATATTAAAGGGCCACATTGGAAACTGCATTAAATTTTGTGACAGTAGGGGGATTTTAGGGAAAGAAAACAATTCATGAGCATATTGGGCTACATGATTAATTTATGATGTTGTGGTTCCTTTTGACAAACGGAAAAATGATGTTGTATGATCAATTATAAAGGAACATAATAATCCCCTGCTGATAAATCATTCCAGTATATTAATAAACAGTAAAAATATTATTGTGAGAACAGCTCTCTTGGCAGGACAAAGATTTTGAAAGTTTCAATGACTCTTGCTGGGCAAAGGCACATTTTCCTCTGTTAAAAATGAAATTGGAGATGAACTCCTGGGAGATTCTAAGAAAATATAAACCTAGTTAGGATATGAAAATTAATACTATCTTTGGTCAACCACTGCAAATAAAAACATGCCTCAGTGCTAAAGGAAATTAATGGGGATAGAACAATCAACTAGTAGGCTTAAAATATTCAGTATAATCTGGTCAGCCCTTCCCTTTGAGCCATCACCAGGAAGTATTATATTAACAATAACTATGACTGGAAACAGAAGTTTTGACTAATCAAAATTTCTGTGGGCTTGATTTTTTTAAAAAGATCTTTTTGTTAGCTAGCGCAAGATGTCATCGCAATTTATCAATAGATATATTGAAAGGTTGATGAGTACTTACAGGAAAAACAAGGAATTTAATCCGGTAAACAAGCGCTGTGAAATTCTGCTTATTGGATTGTCATCTAGAATTCTGACAAAATGTATCAAGAAATGTTTCCAATATTAGAGACATTTGTGAAATAAAACCTTCCTCCCCTCAACACCTGGCCTACTCCTTCATGTGCTTCCATACTTGGCTCACCTCTCTCTTCCCTGAGAGCTTTTCCTTCCCTCTGTGGTTGGAGCAACTCTTTCCTCCACATTCCTACAGCTTCCATCCCACTTATCAAGTCGGATCCTGACTGTTTTGCTTTCTCCTGGCTGCCTCTGCCTCCCACTAGACTTAAAGATCCAGGTTGCATCAGTCATCTCTGGGTACCTGGGTGTGGCACAAGTGCCATGTATTGAATTCATTTGGGCTCCATAAATGCTCTAACCTACTGACTGGTTGAGCTGAAGGATGAATGAAAATATAATTTTTAGGAAATCACAGAGGGTTCTTCGGTCTTATGGTGTTAAACTGATATGTTAATAAGGTGTGTATAAATCAGTGGATGGATGTCACACTCTTCATAGGGAGCTTTGCAGGTGAAAGAGTGAAACTGTTTGCATATCCAAGCCACTTTTTAAAACTATATTTTGTAGAATAAATTGGAGTAAGGGGAAATTGGCTTCTATTCATCTTGTTGCCTGGAAAGCCCGGCTATATTTCCTCTTCTTGGCAGCGGCCGATGAGGGTAGGATTGGGAGAAGGAAGCCACATCGAGCACCTATATGCCTGGAGATTTGCATGTGGAACTGAGTAACTGTTATGTGATGTAATCCTCAAAACTTCCCTCTTGGAAAGGAATCATGGTTTACAGATAAAAATAAAGAGGTCTAGGAAGATTAAGAAAGTTGCCTGAGCCAGGTGCGGTGGCTCATGCCTGTAATCCCAACACTGAGAATCTGAGGCAGGCAGATCACTTAAGCTCAGGAGTTGGAGACCATCCTGGGCAACATGGTAAGACCCACCCCGTCTCTACTAAAAATACAAAAATTAGCTGGGTGTAGTGGCTCACACCTGTAGTCCCAGCTACTCAGGAGGCTGAGGTGGGAGAATCGCTTGAGGTCCAGAGATTGAGGATGCAGTGAGTCAAGATTGTATCACTGCACTCCAGCCTGTGTGACAGAGTGACACCCTATCAAAAAAAAAAAAAAAAAAAAAAAAAAAAAAAAAGGGAAGGAAGGAAAGCAAGCAAGCAAAAGTAGCCTGGAAGACTAAGCATGGAGCTAGGGGCCAGGCACACAGAAGGGCCTGGATGAAGCTGAAGCCCTGGCTTTTTCCACTAGATCAGGACAGCCTGCAGAAAATGGGCAAACAACACAGAAAACCTTCCAACCTCCCCCTTGTGTATTTTCCTGGTGAAAGCACAGACATCTGACTTGAGATTTCTTGGAACGAAGCTGGTGGCTCAGTCTGGAAAGTGGTGAAATAGCATGAGCTATCATATTTTCAGACTTTTCTCTGAATGCTCTGGAAAGCAGAACACGTTCTTAACTTGCTTACTTTTTAGCACAGTGGTTTTCTGCAGAGATCAATTTTTCCTCCCAAGGGGCATTCAGCAATGTCTGGAAACAGTTTTAGTTGTCACAACTCTTGGTAGAAGTGGTATATCTTGGGAGAAGGGATATACTACTGGCATCAGTGGGTAGAGGCCACAAAGGATGCTTAGCATCCAAAAATGCACAGGACATAGTCGGACTTCCCATCCTACCCTTTCCCAAAACAGGCATTACGTGAGCAAAAATGTCAGTAGTGCTGAGGTTAAGGATTCCTGCTGTTGGTGAGCATTGGATGGATGGATGGCTTAGCAAGCCTACTGCAGGGCTCAAAGGCCTCCTGAAAAAGTTTGGCCAGCTTTTCACATAACCACTACTTGACATGACATTGAATTGCCTAGGTAAAGTTCTACAGATCATATGATAATCAGAAAAGTAAGGATAAAACAATATCTGTCAAATAGTAGAAACTCTATGAGTACTATTGTATATCATCAAGATTATGATCCTTTATGGGAGAAAGAATTAGAATACTTACAGCCAGGTTAGCTGATGTAAGTCTTTGAATATTCCAGGTCTGAGCATTGTGATGCAGTTGTGGTTGAGATATCTACAAATAGCATGGGTGAGTTAATTAGGCAAACTCAATACCCCGTTTTAGTCATATATAATCAGAATATTAGCCACTGTTGATGATTATGAATATGGACATCTGCGTCTGCAAGCACTCTCCAGAATGAGCAGAGAGGGAAAATTCAAGGGATGTCCAGAAAGTACAGATAACACAAGCCCAGTGTGTACAACACCAGGGCCAGGGCAGAGAAAGTGGTCCTAAAATGTTTTGGATATTGGCTGGGTGTGGTGGCTCACGCCTGTAATCCCAGCACTCTGGGAGGCTGAGGTGGGTGGATCACCTGAAGTCGGGAGTTTGAGACCAGCCTGGCCAACATGGAGAAACCCTGTCTCTACTAAAAATACAAAATTAGCCAGGCATGGTGGCATGCATCTGTAATCTCAGCTACTTTGGACGCTGAGGCAGGAGAATCACTTGAACCTGGGAGGCTGAGGTTGCGGCGGTGAGCTGAGATCATGCCTTTGCCCTCCAGCCTGGGTGATAAGAGCAAAACACCATCTCAAAAAAAAAAAAAAAAAAAAAAAAAAAAAAAGCTTTGGTATATTACATCAGGTTACATTGTAAGGGTATAATAACTAAGTATGTGGGACAATTTTTGCTTGTGTCCTTTTTGGTCGCATCTTTAGTAGACTAGCATTTTGAGAAAATACATAGCAAGTTAGCAAGAGTTAGAATAGAAATAAAATGCTAAAATATTGTGGAAATGACCCAAGCTAGAGAAGACAAGGTTAAGGAGAACCTTTATATGTCTTCTGGTAAAACTAGGAATCTTTTAATAATTCCTTCAGTGTAATAACTAAGTACTTTTTGATAACCTATTCCTCCCATTTCCTTATGATCACATTGAGCCTTGAAAAAGTACCATTCTATCCTTTTGGTCTTTACTTAAAAATTATGCCTACAGTATAATGAGAAAGAAGTTACTCACAATATTTGCAGATTATATAATCCAAAAAATGCTTTCCTGGATATGTGTCTAATGCAATTGTGCTGAAGAAATCTGGTAGGAATAAGACAGGAGAGTCAGGTGATTATGGCTTATAGCTTATATTAGGTTGTTGAATATATTGTTCACTTTCTTTACCTGAAGACAATTGTGAAATTGACTTATAAAGTTCAATATCTTATTCTCATGTTAGGGAGATATTGTCAGTGAGAAATGGCTACGAACTATCCAATGCTGTCCTCGTGCAATGAGATTGAGGCATCTCTGATTCATACCACTGAACTCCAGTGTTATGTGTCTGGGGAAGGATCTAGTCTTGTTTCTGCAGGCTGTTCTGACTGGCAGGAGTTGCTGGCCATGTGAGACTAGTCAGGCTTTCACTGCTGAACTTTCTTCCCCTTTCTGCACAGAGATACACCTTTAATTCCTCATTTATTTTTATTCTATTCCCATGAATAAAGGAGAGAGCAAGTTTTAATTCTTTTCTATTTTGTGATGCAAAGTGAGGAGGACAAGGCAATTTAGGTACTCAGCATACCAAAGGACATCAGTAGTTGAACCAGGGTAAGTATGTCAACTTCAACTCACAGGATCAGGACTGACTTAACCTCTGAAGCAACTTAACAATACAGTATTGATTCCGTAATTGTGCTGTCAGGAGTATCGAAGTAAATAATTTCAGTTTGCTGTCATCATTGTACAATGGGAAGTTAGCTCGAATTCCTATTCTCTGAAGGCTCTCAGAGGCAGGCAATACCTACACTAATAGTAACAAATCACTACATAGTCTTTTTAATGAATTCCATTTCTCTTATTTTGGTTTGAACTGATTCCTAAACTATTATGCAATGCTGATTCATTGTTATGATATTCTACTGCAAAACTATTGGTAGATCACATGCTCATTTGACATCTGGCTGTACTGTGAATTTTGTTATACCGTGATTATTGCCTTGCAGAGCTCCCCAGCCTTTGCCTCTGGGTCACAAGAGTGCCAGGATAGTGACTCTCTCAAACCTCAAGATAGCCAGGGAAAGCCAAGATTGGAGTGGTTACCAGAGGCCAGGAAGTGGGGAGATGAAGGGGGACAAATGAATATTTATTACCACTAAACTGTACACTTAAAAATGATAAAGAGGGTAAATTATATATATTTAACTTCAGTTAAAACAAGAAAATGAATGTAAATAAAGGTTATTAGAAAGGGGAGGGGTGGGGGGAAAGCCAGGAGAGGCTTCCAGTTATCAGCAAACCGGTCTTTTACCCAAAGTACTTTACACATATCATCATTTTCCCTATGTTCCACCATGTGCAAAGGGCTGGTACTCCAGAGCACTACATCTGTGGTGATACACAAAGCATCAGTTTAATCCTGCAAAGCAAACTTGAAACCCAGTGTGACTTTGTGTCATCTCAACCCTGTTCCCTGTGCCATATCTGCAGGGAGATGCTTCACAAAGCAGCATAAATTCTGGTTTTGGTTTAAGGTTCTGCTATGAATAGAATGACCTCACACAAATCAATATCTGTTTTAGCATTTTCAGAGCACTTTGACCAATGCAATGAAAGTTAATATGAGGGATTATTTTACAGTAGCAAATGAAAATAGTAAAAGAGCAAAATACTCTATTGTAGGTATATTGAATTTCCTCTTAAATATACAATTCACTACTTAACTACTGCTATTTACATTTTATTCAAGATGATAAATTCAAAAATGGAACGTACATTTTCCCTGCATGTTGCCACATCTTGAAGAGATGGGTGCAGTTGCAAATTGTGAATTTGACCTTACGCTTTTGTCTTATAAATCAAGGGAAAGAAAGAGTAAAACCAATGAGCCACACAACTCATCTGCTATGTACAACCAATCTTCCTTCACTGACATCAATTAAAACTCAAACTCTTAAATAATGAAGAGCTTCAGCTGGACCCGGTGGCTCACGCCTGTAATCCCAGCACTTTGTGTGGCCAAGGTGGGTGGATTATGAGGTCAGGAGTTCGAGATCAGCCTGACCAACATGGTGAAACCCTGTCTCTACTAACGATACAAAAATTAGCCAGGTGCGGCAGTGCGTGCCTGTAATCCCAGCTACTCATGAGGCTGAGGCAGGAGAATCGCTTGAACCCGGGAGGTGGAGATTGCAGTGAGCCGAGATGGTGCCACTGGACTCCAGCCTGGGCAACAGAGCAAGAATCTGTCTCAAAAATAATAATGATAATAATAATAATAATGAAGAGCTTCTAGTCTTCTATTTAGTTGGCTGACTGCCACCCCGTAGAGAACTATAGTCCCTCCCAGGTCCCATGTCTCAGACTTAGGCTGCTGAACTTGAACTGCTGTCTTCTTTGCAGAACAGTAGCTTAAATAATATGAGGGAATATTTGGAAACGTGACAACTTGGCAAGTGGTGTCCTCTTTTTATTTGGAGCTGAGATACGAGCCCATTTAATATACTTTACACCGAATGACTTTTCTAAGAATAACTTACGGGTTCATGAATTCCTGCTGTTTCAGCTGTCAGGACTTTTCAAGCAGAAACACCAGGAATTTATGTACCTGAAACTAAAGCAAATAAACGCTTTAATGACATGCATGTTTATAGGCTATTTTTGAATGTGCCATTTTGTATCCAAGAGCCAGGCAGACACCTTGAGTTACATTTTGTTGCCGGTGATTGTATTTAACAAGAACCCAGATTAAGAAGGAATTCCTCATTTATAAAAGGTTTATGTTACAATAAGGAGGAGAACTGCTGTTTGTTTCCATGGTAGCAGTGATAAAGTATCATAGTCAATTTCATAAATTGTATTTTATTTCTCTGGAAGGTCATTGGAAACTGTTTCCACCCCCAACTTAGAATGGCCTGACATTCTAAAAGATTATTAAAATGAATAAACTGATCAATAGTAAAAGCATTCAGATCAGTTAAGCAACACTTATTCATCTGGCAATTAAGATTTAATTTTGATTTAGGAATTTGTTTTTCTGGATGCCTAAATGACCTGAACTCCGCTGTGAATATTTAGAGCATTTCAGACTGGAGACTCCCTTGACATTAAATTTGGTTATCTCATAGGACAGTAGTCCCCAGCCTATCTTTTGGCACCAGGGACTGGTTTCACAGAAGTCAATTTTTCTTTTTCTTTCTTTCTTTTTTTTTTTTTTTTTTTTTTTTTTTGAGACAGAGTTATGCTCTGTTGCCCAGGCTGGAGTGCAGTGGTGAGATCTCGGCCCACTGCAACCTCGACATTTTGGGTTCAAATAATTCTCCTGCCTCAGCTTTCTGAGTAGCTGGGACTACAGGCACATGCCACCATGCCTGGCTAATTCTTTTTTGTATTTTTAGTAGAGATGAGGTTTCACCATGTTGGCCAGGCTGGTATCAAATTCCTGACCTCAAGTGATCCACCTGCGTCGGCCTCTCAAACTGCTGGAATTGCAGGCGTGAGCCACTGTGCCTGGCCAATTTTTCTATGGACAGGGAGCAGGGATGGTTTCAGGATGATTCAAGTGTGTTACATTTATCATTAGATTCTCTTAAAGAGGGCATAGCACAACTTAGATTCCTTGCATGTACAGTTCACAATAGGGTTCACGCTTCTGTGAGAATCTAATGCCACTGCTGATCTGACAGGAGGAGGGAGGCACAGCTCAGCTTTGCTTGCTCATCCACCAGTCACCTCCTGGTGTGCAGCCCAGTTCCTAACATGCCACAGACTGGTACCGGTCCATGGTCTGGGGACTGGGGACCCCTGTCATAGGCTATATCTGAATACAACTTAAATATGCAGATTAACCTTATTAGCTCAATACAGTCTAAAACACATATTTGTGCATGTATGTTCTCTGCTCAAACAGAATAAAATTCAGATGCCTTAGCTGGCAATCATGATTCAATGACCTCTCTAGCATATGCTCCATCATCTCCTGTGGGAATGCTTTCCCTCTAGACTAGGCGTCCCCAAACTTTTTACACAGGGGGCCAGTTCACTGTCCCTCAGACCATTGGAGGGCTGCCACATACTGTGCACCTCTCACTGACCACCAATGAAAGAGGTGCCCCTTCCTGAAGTGCGGTGGGGGGCCAGATAAATGGCCTCAGGGGGCTGCATGTGGCCCACAGGCCGTAGTTTGGGGACGCCTGCTGTAGACAAACTGCCTGTTCACTCTCTTCTCAACATCCTATGAGCATTTCTGCTTGTTTCTTTCTTCTCCCTGGTGAAGATGCTCCCCACCTTCTCTTTAGTTCTACATGGTAGTCCTATCCATTGTTCATTCAGCAAATACGTATGAACCTCATTAGGTTCTTACCATGTATGCTACGACACAAGCCTCAATGGACTAGGAGAGAACCAGGAGGGCCGTCCAGCCCATGAAGAGGGTGTGGTTGTCAGAGAGTAGTTCCTTCAAGAAGGAAAGCGAGGGCTTCATGAAAATAGAATTGGAGTTGACCCAAGTCACGTGTGAAACTCAAACAGTAAAGAATGCTGTGAGCAATAAAAATGTGTATCTGGTTTTATTGTAGAAGCAAGAAAGTGTTAAGGAAAGTCTCAGTTTGCTTCCTGGAACCTGTCTTATGATGTGAGATAATATACAGGGAACAACTGCTTATTTCTCAACTCCTACTTTGTTCCTGTCTTCTGAATCAAAGAAGATGGTCTCAGGATTGAAGCAAATGGAAAGGCTAGATGGCAGGTCAGTGAAAGTCCAAGAGAGTAGAAGGTATTAATCAAAATTAATTAAAGCCCTCTGGTTTGGAAACTTTTTCCCAGAAATTGAGAAATGCCAAAAAATGAGAACGTCAAATCATAATCAATTGCTGAAGAATCCTGAGAAAGAATGAGCAGCTGGAAAGTTCAAGATGGCAAATGTAATCTTAACTTCTCAAAAAGGGAAGAAGTTGGTCCTACAAGCTGTAGTTGGATGAGCTCAATGCTGGTCCTGGGAAGATCATAGAACAGGTGTAAATGATGCTGGTTTTTCTATGCCTCAAGGAGAAAGTGACCAGGACAGTTCACAAGAAACCACATGGCAGACCAACTTCATTTTATTCTTTGAAAGACTGTGCAAAACTATGTGATAAACATTTTTACATGTCTATTGGGCATTGATCAAGAAGTTTTATAATTTTTTATGGACAAAAGAAAGAATGATACATATTCTTATCTGAAGGATGATGATGAAGGAATATAGAAAGAAAATTTGGTGCTGTTCTCTTCAATATTTTACTCCTTGACCTGGGTGAAGATAGTTGATCTTATTTGCAGATGACAAAATTATGGGAGGAGTAGTGACTATGATGGAAAATACAAAAAGACCTTCACACTCTGGTAAGAAAAGCTGAATCTGAGAGGATGAAATTGACCAGGGATGTACTTAAGGACCCACAACTACCTCTCAAATGCTAAATGCATGAGTACAAGATGTAGCACACTTATCAGCAGCAACACAAATTATAGATCACTAGGATTTAAGGGTATCAAGAAGTCATCAAAAGAGCAATATAATCATAGGGCACATAGAGTACAGAAGGAAAGGGATGCTAGTTCCTCCCTGTTTGCCTCAGTCATGTTACAGTGATAATATTACATTTATTCTAGATATCATCCATCAAGGTGGATGTAGGCAAACATATATAGTATTGGGACCAGAATGATGGACAGATTTGAAACTATGTCCTTTAGGGAAGAATTTAAGGAACTGAGGATACATAGGGAAGGGATTTGTGGTATGGTGGAGGGTAATGACAGCTAGCCTTAAATATCTGTAGACTTACGTAGAAGACTGATGAGATGTGTTCTGAGCAGTCTCTTGGGGGTAAATTTAGGAATGATGGGGAGCTTTAGAGGTACCTTGAGCAGTGGTAATGTGGACAAAATTATTAGTGAATTGTTTGAAATTCCGTCTCCCCAGCACCTTCTAATCCTGTTTTTTTTTTCCTCCATAGCCCTAACCACCATCTAACAAATTATTTATTTTAAACTTTGTTTATTGACTTTCTTGATTGGGAATTAAGCTCCACAGGCTTTATTTCATCTGTGGCTTTTTATCTGTGTTAGTCATGCTGTCTCATTGATGCCTAGCACCTTGTAGGTATCAATAAGTATTCATCACAGGAGTGAATGGATACTTGGGTCTTGCTAGCTGCTGCTCTCCTGCTATCAGATACCAAGAGTTCTGGCTGAGGCCCATCTGGTTTTTTCCTCCCCCTGACATCCTTTCCTGGGGATGGTGTGGTATTTGCCACATTGGTTATTAGGGTCATTGTATGAGGATTGGAAAAGAAAAGGGTAGGAGAAGATGGACAGGAGGGACAAGAGGTAGGACTGGTCCCGGGAGCTCTTTTTCTGGGGGTTTGGAGGAAAGAGCAGGAGGAGCTGAGGAGTGTGCTAAGGGTGGGGGAGGTAGGAGATTTAAGGAAGCATCACTGAGCTTATGAGCTGCTCTAGGATATTTGAGTATAAAGAACTCGAGTTATTTCAAATCAAAGTTTACTCACTGGGTGATTTCATTGACAATAACACATTCTGAGCCTGGACTACATGGGTGGGATTCCAAAGGAGCATGGTCAGAAGGTTTGGGTTTCAGGCCAAACTCTACTACTTGTCAGCTGGCTGACTCTGGGCAAACAATCCCTCTTCCTGAGTGGCTTTCCTCATTCCTGTGACTGCTGTACTGGTGTCTGCCCCCACCTCATAGACTTTGGGGATCAAAGCTGAAATGAAAATTCCAAATATCTGTAAACTTCAAAAAGTGGCAGATGACTGTAAGCAATTGTGTTTTGTCACCCTGTGCTTTATCTTACATATAACAGACATTTAGTGAATGTTTATTGATGACAGTCTCATAACCTCTTTTCTGTGAGTCTCTGTGAAAATTAAATTGCCTGCAAATCATCAAATAGCAGTTCTCATGGGGAGAAGCCCTGCCAGGTAATATTCAGGTTATGATGTAGTTCCTGTTTTCTCGAACAAAGTAGAATTAAACATTGCCTTGGAGAAATTGCTAGCTGATCTTGACAATAAAGGTTAATTCCTGTCTTTTTTCACTTGGAAAATTGGGGACCTGAATTATTAAATTGCTTCTATAGTCTTCCCTTCAGTGGGCTAGCAGTGACCAGGACCACAGAGGGAGATATTGGTATAGAACACAGTTACGGGTTAATAGACCAAGGAATGACATGGCCTGAGAAGTCTAATTTTAACCCTCCTGCCTGACCCTCTAGTGACCCCTCTCCCTCACCAGAAGTTGGCTTTGCCCCCAAATTAGGGGCAAAACATATACAAGGGAATTCTACATGGCGTAGGACAGTCTGTTCTGGTAGAAATTCAGTTGAATGCTAGAACGATTTCTATCCCTCTTAAGGTTTCTTGTTATGGTAAAGTAAGTACTACCTTGGACATCAGAAGACATTAGCTCTCATTCTGGGTCTTACACTGACTAGTTGTAGATCTTAGGTGAGTCATTTAACCATTGCCGACTTTAGTTACTTCGTGTATAATGAGAAGATTTAATTAGAAATTCTTAAAACATATATGACTCTAGAAAATAGAATTTCAATTGCTATGAAACAAGAATTCTGAAACAAACATCTGTTCCCCTCCTTTCTGCTAGTGCTATTTTATTTTTCCTCCCACATGTATTATTCAGGCAGTGCAAAGACAATATTGATTCATCTAAAGAACATGTTGTGATTTTAGGGATTTCTTGGAACACTAGGAACAACGTGGTTAGAATTTCCTCTCTAGAGGAATCTGGACATGCAGAGCCAATGCATAGCTACTCTGGAGTGACAGTGACAACAGGACAACGTACCCACATGCTTTAGGATGAAGCAGGAGGTCTGAGAACAGCCAGGGTTTACAGAGGCCACAGTCAAACCCAAGTACGATTGAGTATTGATGTCCACACAAGGTTCTACCTCGTGGACTTCCATTAGCTACTTCCTTTCTCGTCTGAGGAAATTTGTACCTAAATTCAGGAACACAAAATCCTTGATGGTATTTCAAACCAAATGTGTGTGTCCAGTATCAGCAAAGATTCAGATCATTTTTATTCCTGGATTTTCATAAATTTCACACTTCTAGAAACTCTTCTCCTCTATGCTGGATATTGAAGGATAAAACAATAAGGTGATGGTACCGCCAAGGGGCCTTGCAGAATGGACAGCATTCTCTTGCTAATTTTGTTATCTAGTCTAATGATCATCTCAGCAGGTGTAGCCCCTCCAGTGCCCCAGAGTGACTGGTCCAGAGGGACTGACAGACACCAAGCTGACTTGCAAAAGACTGATACATGAACCTGAATATTCTCCATTTATTAATGTGAATAGAAGATATCCCATCCCAGTCATAGGAATGCTCTTATTCTCTGTTCCATGTAGCTTTTCAAATACTTTAAAATGAAGAAGTTGGACAATTAAATTCGTCATCCAAGGTTGCTTGGTGAGTAGGGAATCAAAGCAAAGGGATATGGATAGTATCAAGAGATTGTTCATGAAAATTGTGGTAGAGATTGATGATGCATCCTGACCCTCCAACAGAGATCATCTCTAGGGATTATATTTCCTTGATCCTGGTTTCCTTTCTTGAATGATGCTGGAAGAATATTGGCCCTTCTTTGTCATAGAAAACCTCTGCTGATCATGCCCTATTTATGGGCATTTTCTTTCCTCAAATACGTTAATATCACTGACTGTACTGCTCCTGTGTTATCATTCCTAACACCCTGGGGGATGTCTGTACCCTATCATGATGTATTTGAAATGATCTGATGGTTCTTGTCTATGCTATCACTCTTTTTTTCAAGTTAAAAAGTGCCTCTGAGTCTGCAATGTCATTTTCCAAATCATCTTGAGGAAAATCATGGAACCGTTTATCTTTCTATTGAGATGTTTTACCTCGACTCCAAGTTAATTCTCCAAAAAAGTTTAAACAAAATGAGTTCAGCTTCTTTAAATTATGAAATGGAAAGATGATATATACTTTTAAATGTTTTATTTTCTAATCTTAATTACATTTAGAAACATACATGTGATAATAAAGATAACAAACTTTCTATTTCATTTTTAGATAAAAAAAATCTTACAACACCACAAGGAATTTTTTAAAAAATAAATATGCTATTAATGGCTACTTACATCTTTTTAAGTTTTGTGTATTTGATGAAAACTTTATCTGGAAGACTGTGGATTTTGTTTTTCTTAAGAGACCTAAAATAACATGTAAAGCAAACTTCATTATGGATTTTTATGGCCAACCAAACTCTTCCCTAGAAGCCACATGCTTGGGAAAAGAATATTTGATCATGTCCATTATATTAAACCATATTTAAACGTGACAATGACTAAAAATTTTTCACGGGAGGGTAAAAACTTTATATAGTAAAATAGTTTGTGAATATCTGACAGATGTAGCTAGTTAGAATAATAGACTGGAAAGTCTGTGGTGATTTAGCTTCTTTGTTTTTACTCTCTGGGTGCATTAGCAAACCAAACAAAACCAAAAACCAACCAAAAATCCCAACCCACTCATGCATGCCCAAATGATGACATGGCTGAAGATTCTTGAGGCTTTCAAGAACTTTATGCAAAGTACAGAAAGTTTTGCATGATATAACACAACTGCTAGCTTCATGGATCTTTTATATCTTTGCAGTCTTGGGTAGATTACCAACATTAAAAATGACATAGAATAAGTGAGTGTGCTTCCTTAAAAAAAAAAAAAAAGATTTCAGCACAAGCACAGTAGTAATCATACATACATCAAAAAGCAACTGAAAATGAGAACTCCAGATCCACAGACACCTGTGAGCTAACTGATCACAGGCTAATCTAACATACAGTGTGTAAACCGCTTTTTCCTGTTGAATAGGAAATGTGCAGAATTCTCTAATGACTGGTAGTTTTAACAGAGTTTCTATTATTTTGCTGATATTTGAGCAACATTATTAGGTTTTTTCCTTGGTTTTCATGTGACTCTAGGGACAAATATCGACAATAATTAAGTTTTACTTACAGTAATGTCACATTATTAGAAATCATTGGCACAGACTTTAAGCCACCATTTATACATTCCAATTCGGTTTCTTTGCAGTCACAGCATTGCGGATAGTGTTTTAGAACTGATGGGACAAAAAGAGTAAGATTTCAATAGTGAATACATTTCTTTAATTATGACTTTGTCTTTAATAACTGATGGTGCTCTCTTTTCATTGAATGTATAAAATTTACATCTGTTAAATGAATTCATTCAGCGCTAATAAAAGTAAATAAAAATTCTCTCCTACTCAAATGTAGACTAATATATTAATCTCAGTTCTAGCTTCTAGTAGTCATTTCAGAGGTATTTACCAAGTGATTAGAAAAAAACCACAAAATGTTAACTGTCATAAACTCATCTAGTGAAGCAGCATTAAGTTCACCTCAGTGAAAAATAGTATGATTGAGTAATTCTTTTTTTTTGGAGACAGAGTTTCACTCTTGTTACCCAGGCTGGAGTGCAATGGCACGATCTCGGCTCACCGCAACCTCCGCCTCCTGGGTTCAGGTAATTCTCCTGCCTCAGCCTCCTGAGTAGCTGGGATTACAGGCACGCACCACCATGCCCAGCAAATTTTTTGTATTTTTAGTAGAGACGGGGTTTCACCATGTTGACCAGGATGGTCTCGATCTCTTGACCTCGTGATCCACCCGCCTCGGCCTCCCAAAGTGCTGGGATTACAGGCTTGAGCCACCGCACCCGGCCCGATTGAGTAATTCTTAATGGATATGACTGAGTCAATTCAATTCATTTGAATAGCATAAAATAGTTGCTCAATAAATGCTTGTTGTTTAAAATCAGATTCAATTTTTTTCTTTCTTCAAGCTTCCCTTAGAGCCGTAGGAAGAGTAAGATGAAGGTTCTATCGTAACCACTCTGGCACCTTACTAAAGTCCCTCCAGCGAGATAGTCTTTCATTTTGATTCTCTGTGTTTCATTACTATGAAGTTGAAAGCTGAAGATAAAAGTTGTAGAGAAGCTGCAAAGCTGAGATAACCAAAGATCGATATATCTGAAGCATTCAGAAGAAAGAGGGATTTAGGATGTACTCTGAACTCTGAAGGGACTTACATAGTTACTAACATAATGGTATGTAAAGAAGGGAGAAATCCCAAGAGAAGCCAGGCCACACTAGTTCACAGATCAGTCACTGTGTGTGTGTGTGTGTGTGTGAAAGAGAAAGAAAGAGAGAAGAGGACAAAGGAGAGAGAGGAGTTTGAGCGAGAGAGAGCAAGTATTTCTGGAGTCTGATTTCTCTTCTTAGCCTGTGGATTTTGTACTGATAGAGCTAAGAATGTGAGAGTTATTTTTGAATTTATTTTGTTATTATTGATTTTAATGTAATAATAAGTTCTTTTCAGTTGCCCTGCTCCTTTTAGATCACTTTTATGCAAATGTTATTTTAAAAATAAATTTTACTGAATTTCATTAGTAAAGCCTTAAAGGATGCTTTTAGGGTATTCATGTTGGCAAATATTTTATGTCATCTATACATATATGTTAATTAGCTCAACTTCCTAAAGATAACTTTCAGATACTTAATGTCAATGTTTATTGACAACCACCATTAAAATAGTGGTTATATGATTAAATTAAAAACCTGTGGTTGGAAACTTTTTTACCAATATAATAATTTCATATGGTCAAGCTGAGTGTGTCACCAAAACCAGAAATGTGAGCATTAATTGTTCACCCTCCATCATCTGCAAGCCAATCATGCCCCTAGCATCTCTGGATTCTTTTTCCAAAATGCCTTTTGCATCTCTCTCTACCTCAGTCTTCTCAATGGCATTTTGTGGGCATTGCAATAAACATAATAACCAATATCTCTTTTATCATCATTCTTTCTCCTCCATCTGAGCATGATTGACATTTTGGGTCAATTGTTCTTGGTCATGAGAGGCTGTCCTGTGCATTGTGGGATGTTCAGCAGTATCCCTGGCTTTTACCCACTAGATGCCAGCAGCAACCCATCCTCCTCCATTAGGATGACGAAAAGTGTCTCCAGGCTGGGCATGGGTGGCTCATGCCTGTAATCCTAGCACTTTGGGAGGCTGAGACGGGTGGATTGCTTGAGCGCAGGAGTTTGAAACCTGGGCAATATAGTGAGACTCATCTCTACAAAGAATACAAAAATTAGCCAGGCATGGTGGTGCACGTCTGTAGTCCCAACTACCCACGAGGCTGAGGATCACTTGAGCCTGGGAGATTTGAGGCTGCAGTGAGCTGTGACTGTGCCACTGCACTCCATCCTGGGCTACAGAGTGAGATCCTGTCTCTCACACACACAAAAATGTTTCCAGATACTATCAAACATTCTTTGCAGGCACCATTGCCGTGGCTGAGACTCACTGCTCTAATCCATTCTCTGCAATTCTAATGAAAGAATCTTCCTCACATATGTTTCTGATCATGTGCTCTTCCTCCTCGTTACAAAATAAAATAAATATAAGACCAAACCAAACAAATGTAAGGCCCACAACTGTGGTGACTAGCCATTGTATACAGTAGTGACCTTTAAAATGGGATGTGTGCAAGACAGCCCACTGTGGATTAGGAAGAAAATAGTAGAACTTTTGGGTGTATTTATTTTTAATTTTATCCTTTTTAGTTTCTAATTTTCATACAGAATATTCTTGTATATAATAAAATATATAAGTGGTAATTATAAACTGGTATTATAAAGTACATAAAATACTGTTAGTGTAGTATTTGATATATGTACATTATAGACATACATTTACATATACTTACTAATGTATGTAATTGTACATTCATCTCCTTAGTTATATATCTATGTCTCTATATACACACACGCACCCCTAAAATTCTATCTGTGGGATAGAGGTCACCCTTCAAGGTGTGCACCAAAACCTTTCATGGGCTAGCCCCAGCCTTCGAGGCTGAGCTCCTGTTCCCCCTCCGCATGCTCTCAGAATGGTTGTGAAAAGGCATCCTGCAGCCTGCTGCGTGTCTTCTGACCCAGTGTTTTGCTGATTTTGCTCCCCCGCTCATCCTGTCACCTCTTATCCTTTCCTCCATCCAAGGACTTCAAAGTCCATCTCAAATGTCATCCTCTCTGGAACTCTTTCCCCTTTCCCAGCACAGCCACCATTTCTCCCAGTGGGCTTCCCTATTCCCTGGTGCAAACTTTATTCCTCCCCTTTAGCAAGAATATTGTATCATCACGACTTTCGTAAGGAGCGGTCTTTCTTGCTGCATGTGAGGTGTTCGTGGGTTAGAACCCCATCATCATTGTTGCCCTCTCAGTGCCTAATATCTTTCTTGAATAAAATAATTAAAAGGAATAAGAACTTTACTATTTGTCACAATTATTCAATACTCATATATTCTTGTAATCAGAGAGTAACGCATGAAAATAGCATAAATGGGGATGGTTGTTTTCTTTTTTCTTTCTAATCCCACAGGCAGACCGCAGACCTGTTAGCCAGGGAAATACATTGAACTGAAATGGAAATTCCGAAGGGGATTTGTCACATTACCCACATAAATTTGTGCACCACAAATCGCGTTTTTCGCAAAGCTGATTCTGTGTTTGAATCAAAACCACTTACAGCACTCCTGCGTTAAGGCCACCTTGTTAGCATTTCCATGGACTGTGCCAAATATAGTTGCCCATCCACTAGTGTCACCTGTGAAAAGGTGATTGATGTGTGTCAGTTATTCTAGAAATCAAATACCATCTTACAAAAATATAACAATTTGATAATTTTAAACTAAAATATGTTTAAGTAATAGAATGATTGATATTTTAAATGCATAGTAAGGGAGAAAAAATTAGGCAGATATCTACAACGTTTCCCTTTTTTACATGAAAAATATTCCAAATGTATGTATCATAAAATTTGCACTGCAAATATATGATTATTTTACATGAATATAAATGTCTTGGAAAATATCAACTATTTCTAATACTGATATTTTCCATGTTTGACCTTAAATTTGAGGATCTCTGAAGAAAATACCTGAATTTAGTTTTTGTCATGTCCATACTGCTGTATGTGCAGACACTTGATAGATATATTGAGTTCTAATAACATTTATGTAATCTGACTTTTTTTAAAATAAAGCAAAAGCAATGTTTTTTTAAAAAAATAAAGGCTTTTTTTTTCTGGGCACAGTGGCGCTTGTCTCTAACTTTAGCACTTTGGGAAGTTGAGGTGGGAGGATTGCTTACATGTAGAAGCTCAAACCAGCTTGGGAAACATAGGAAGACCCTCTCTCTACAAAAAATAAAAAATTAACTGGGTGTGGTGGTGTACACCTGTAGTCCTAGCTACTCGGGAGACTGAGGTGGGAGGATAGCTTGAGCCCAGGAGGTCACAGCTGCAGTGAGCCATGATCATGGCACTGCACTCCAGCCTGGGTGACAGAGTCTCCCTCTGTCTTAATAAATAAATAAATAAATAAATAAAGGTTTGCGTCTGACTGAGAAAAATCACATTTCCTCAATTTGATATATTGTTAATTTGTCATATGTAAATATAATTTATTTGCCAAATTTTCTTCTTTTTGTGATAAATCATATTTTTAAAAAAGGAGGCCTAATTGTGAAGTATAGTTATTTCAGTATATGCTATAAAATAATAAAATATGCCTTATAATGTAAGATACTGACTTTCACACAAATACCTAAGTAAGTTAAAATAATTGCCCATAGTCTGCTTTGATCCTTGGAATCTTTATTTCTATTTCTTATTAATATTCTCAATGATTCTACTATGACGGCTCCCTCACTTGCATTATTTAATTTGGGTTCAGAAATCCCCATGGAGTAAACATTCATGGTCTCTTATTCCTATGCAGCAAAGAGGAAAGGACAAGAATTTGACTAACTTGTCCATTGGCATCCAGAGAGCTGCCCCCAAAACTGAGCACTGATTGAATGCCTACTGTGTACTCTACTGCTCTTGGCTCTAGTGATGACACTCAGGTAAACTGTATTTATCTTCCTAGAAAGAAACTTTTCGAGAAGAGACCTTGTGTGAGGCGTGGTGGCTCATATCTGTAATCCCAGCACTTTGGAAGGCCAAGGCAGGCAGACTACCTGAGGTCAGGAGTTCCAGACCAGCCTGGCCAACATGGTGAAACCCTGTCTGTACTAAAAATACAAAAATTAGCCAGGCATGGTGGCAGGTGCCTGCAATCCCAGCTACTCAGGAGTCTGAGGCAGGAGAATCACTTGAATCCAGGAGACAGAGGTTGCAGTGATCCGAGATGGAGCCATTGCCCTCCAGCCTGGGCGACAAGAGCAAGACTTCGCCCCCCACAAAAAAACAAAAAAACTAAAACTAACAACAACAACAACAGTGAAAAGATAAGGCATTCTACTTCGTGCAGCGTACAGATACACCCAGGGTGCTGTGATAACAGACAGAAACTGCAGTCATCCTAGACCAGTGATACAGCTTCAGGGGGGCCAGGGAAGCCCTCCTGGAGATGGAGACACTTAAACTGGGCCCTAAAGAATGAGTAGAAGTGATCCATGGGAAGTGTGGGCAGAGACTGTGTCCCTCAGAGGGAGGCATGCCTGAGTACCCCGGGGAAGGACAGCAGATTTTAGAGATGCATGCATGGGCTTTGCTGCCCCACTTCGATGGATGGTTGGCAGTGCTGAAGAGAGGTAGCTCTCTGTGGCAGAAAACACACAGGATTCTTTCAGATTAACTAGACATTGTCAGCCTCTCTTGGCATCAGTTTCCTCCAGAGAAGAATACTTTTTTGTTTCAATAAACAGAGCTGAAATTGGCGAGTAAGATGCTCTGTGATCTGGCCTCTGGTTACCCCTTCATTTCCTATGTATATCCCTGTTCACTCTGCTTGAGCCACACACCATCAGACACATTATCCTGTTTCAGTCAGCCTTGGGCCTTTACACTTGATGTTGCCTTTGCCTGGAATTCTGCCCCTCCAGAGTATTTCATCGGTTCCTTCTTCCTTTTTTTTATTTAGTTCTTAATCCAAGTATCACCATCTTAAAAAGATTTTCTCTGGTTACGTCCTTGAAGTATCTCTCCCTCCAAGTTTCTTTCTATTTCGTTATCCTGTTTCATTTCCTTACTTATTATATTGAGATTATTTAATTTTTACATACAGGTTTATCATCTTAGTTCATATTACCCATGTGAACTCCACAAGGTCAAGACACTTGTCTCCCTTGAGCTCACTGTGTCCCAGTGATTTGGAGAGCTCCTGGCACATAGTAGGCACTCAGTATAGGTCTGTTTTATCAATTAACTCTCTAGCTAGGCCCATTCACACTTTATGAATATTCTTTTCTTTTCTTTCTTTCTTTTTTTTTGAGATGAAGTTTTGCTCTTGTTGCCCAGGCTGGAGTGCAGTAGTACAATCTCAGCTCACTGTAACCTTGCCTCCTAGGTTCAGGTGATTCTTCTGCCTCAGCCTCCCCAGTAGCTGAGATTACAGGCATCCACCACCACACCCAGCTAATTTTTTTTTTTTTTGTATTTTTAGTAGAGACGAGGTTTTACCATGTTGGCCAGGCTGATCTCAAACTTCTGACTTCAAGTGATCCACCTGCCTTGGCCCCCCAAAGTGCTGAGACTACAGGTGTCAGCCACCCGTGCTTGGCTACTTTGTGAATATTCTTGAAGCTGAACCAAATTACCAGCCATAAGGAGGTAGTCATAGGAAGGCCCTTAAAATTAAAATGTGAGTATTCAGGTAGATTTTCAAATATAATTTCACTTTTTATAAAATATAACATTTTATGACACCGTATTTCTGACTTAAGCAACCTCTATATACAAAAATTCAAGTTGTTATCACAAACACACTGAGGAGTCGTTTGTGTTTCAAAGGGAGTCCCTACCTACAGAACACCAAATCAGCTTTACTAGTTCATCACAATCATTATCCAACTGACCCATAGTTTTGGGGTGTTCATAAAGTGAGGCACACATGGGGAGCCAAGGGGAGCACTCACCACAGTTCTCCTCGTCTGCCCCGTTCCCACAGTCATCCTTGCCATCACAGTGAAAAGCTCGGGGTAAGCACTTGGTAAGATTCCCACAGGGAAAATATCCTTTTCGGCAGGGAGAGGTGATCATGCTACCTTCACTCAGTGCAAAATCTACATGAAAGAAGGGGCAAAAACAGAGTGTTACCATGGCCACGCTCTCTCCATGTTGTCTCATTTAATTTTCACAAGAAACATAACAGTTGAGTTCCTCTAGTGTTATTCTTGGTGCACAATTTCTTCGAATAATATTCTTAATGACAACTTTTTTTTTTTTCAGACAGGGTCTCGCTCTGTTGCCAGGCTGGAGTGCGATGGCACGATCTCAACTCGCTGCAACCTCCACCTCCCAAATTCAAGCAGTTCTCCTGCCTCAGCCTCCTGAGTAGCTGGGATTATAGGCATGTACCACTATGCCTGGCTAATTTTTGTATTTTTAGTAGAGTCATGGTTTTACTATGTTGGCCAGGCCAGTCTCAAACTCCTGACCTCATGATCTGCCCACCTTGGGCTCCCAAAGTGCTGGGATTGCAGGTGTGAGCCACTGCACCTGGCCAATTATAACATTTTAAACAGCTGTGATTACACCCAACACTAGCTATATCAGGAACAGAATCCAGGTTCATTTTGAATTCACTTCCACAAGGTAATCATAAACAAAACCAGATATATTGTCCTAGTTTTGTATGAAATCAAGGAGTCATACACTCTTGGAAACAGAAAGGTATTACCATGAGCTAATACAGTCAAATGTGTAGATTTATTTACTTATTCATCTTTTATAAGAAGAATTTGAGGTGGCATGATAAAGATATACTTGCAAAGGGAGACTTTAAGAGAGAGCTAGAGAGAAATCCAGAAACACATTAGAACGAGGGGAACTAGGATTGACCATTGAACACTCATGTCTGGTGTCTACTGGGTCTACTGTTTGCCAGACACTTCACATAGTAGTTATCATTAATCTTTCAGCCAGACTATGGGATGGGTGATATTATCATTCATATTTTGGAATTAGGGAAGTTGCATATCTTGCCTGCAGTGGTTCATCTGGGAAGTGACACAGAGTGGGGTCGAATCATCTCTCTAACCCCTTAGGCACACCCTTTGCCATTGTACTATCAGATGATCAATCAGTTCAGGAACCTGCATTTCAAGGAGCATAAATCAGGACTAGGTAGAAGTAATCTGCTGGTGCAGGGTACATAAGAGAAGACCAATGAGAGTTGAATAACTGCTGAGCTGAATAAGAAACTAAAAAAAGGAAATATAACTGACATTTTACAAAATTATTATATCTATGAATAGGATGACCAAAACAATTCTAGCAATTTAGACGTAAGAGATTTTCTTTCCATTTTGAGAGAAAACTTTTCAGAAAATAAAGACACATGTTCCACTTTTATTAAGTTGGGTAATAAAATTACGAAAGTCATGGATGTTTAAAGAAGGAGTTCTGGCCAGGTGCGGTGGTTCATGCCTGTAATCCCAACACTTTGGGAGGCTGAGGTAGGAAAACCACTTGAGGCCAGGAGTTTGTGACCAGCCTGGCCAGTACGGTGAAACTCCGTCTTTACTAAAGTGCAAAAATTAGTGAGGCATGGTGGCACACACCTGTAGTTCTAGCTACTCAGGAGGCTGTGGCAGAAGAATCACTTGAACCTGGGGGCAGAGGTTTCAGTGAGCCAGGATGGCACCATCGCACTCCAGCCTGGGTGACAGAGCTTGACTCCATCTCAAAAAAAAAAAAAAAAATTTTGGAGCTTCACAGAAATTGATTTAAGGAGAGTATAGACACAGGAATGGCTGTAGGTCATTGTGACTCATTGAAGGGAACAAGGGATAAAAGGATGTGAGCATAGTGCACCTAACCACACCACTGAAGGCTGGCATCATGACCATGAATTTCCTTGTGCGGGTGTGGGAGGTGATATTTTTAACATAGCAAAGGAATAAGGAGCAAACTTTGAGGAACAGCATCTACTCTGTGCTGGGAATTTCCTGGTTACTTGATTTCATGTTAATGGCAACTGTGTACGGATAGCATGATCCCCAAATAAAGATGAGGAAATGACAGAACACGAAGGCATATCTACTTTGGTTCTTGGGAAAATGCCGTTGTGAGGCCCGAGCCCTCCACGCAAATGCTGCCTTGCAGAGAGATGTCCTCCCCTCAGGCCCCACAGGAGACTCTCCTAAAGGAGGTAGAACCTACTGCTGTCATTACCGTGTAATGTCATTTGTTAAAGGGTAGGAGTGGAGTTTAGGCACGAAAGCTACATCTAAATTACAAATGCACATGAAGCTTTTAGTGATGTCATTAAAGAGGGTGAATAGATTATCTGAGCTTGAGTCGTTTAGTTCTGATGACCCTGGAGATCCAGCAAGCACCGAAAAGCAGGGCCTCTGGCCCTCTCCGGGGCAGCTGTGTGTGCTGGTGCACACTCTCAGACGTTGCCACGGCCACAACATTGGGGTCTTTTCTGACTGAGGAGGAAGACTCAGAGCGTGGCTTTTGGATGCGTTTCTGCTCATTGGTGTTTTGTTCTTAAAAAAGCAAGAATTATTTTCCCTGCTATTGCTGCAGTAGCGGATGTAAGATTTACTATCGGCAACTAGGCATAAGACCAGTCAAGTCTCTGACTATTTTAGGAAGGCTTCTCTGCTGCATGGCACTGGGTTTGGCTTGTTAAGCCTGTTCATGCAGGGAGAGGCATACTGAGTCATAGATTTTAAAATCCCTTAACTTCTTGCTTGTAAAAATTTCTCTAGGAGGCAGATTTATAAAAACAAGTAGTCCTCCTGTGTTTGGAACATGAACGAGAGAGAGAGAGAGAGAGAGAGTGTGTGTGTCAGTCAATGTATCTTTGTATGGTGGCCCAGAAATTTAAGGCAGTAATTTACAGTTAGAAATATATTTGTAATTTACAGTAGAAATATATTTTATTTATTTATTTTTTGAGACGGAGTCTCACTCTGTTGCCTAGGCTGGAGGGCAGTGGGGCCATCTCGGCTCACTGCAACCTCTGCCTCCTGGGTTCAAACAATTTTCCTGTTGCAGCCTCCAAAGTAGCTAGGATTCCAGGCACACACCACCACACCCGATATTTTTTTTGTATTTTTTAAAAATAGAGACGGGGTTTCACCCTGTTGCCCAGGCTGGTCGCAAACTCCTGAGCTCAGGCAGTCTGCCCACCTCAGCCTCCCAAAGTGCTGGGATTACAGGCTTGAGCCACTGCTCCCAGCCTAGAAAGGTATTTTATATCACAATCCAGCATGCACCTGTGATTTATATCACAATCCACACCCACACTCCAGACACACACCTACACCCCCACACTCACTCTCATACCCACACACACTAGCACATACCCACACACACTTATGCCCACACCCACACCCACATCCACATAATGAAAACAACATTTCCTGAAATATCATTTTTTTAAAGTTATGTGGGATGACCTCTGATCGTTGCTATTCTATTCAGTTGAGAAGGGATCACAAGCCTCCAAGTTGATATCATGATCCCCTAATGGGATGTGACCCACTATTTAAACACATTCGCTAGTGGTAATGCACTCCGGGGACACTCAGACCTGGATTAGTATTCTCTCTGCCACTCACTAGCTATGTCACTTCAAGCAGGCTACTTAACCTCTTTAAATCTTTGTTTCCCCTCCCTGAGACCACGGGTTCTCATTGTTCAACACCAGCCTGTTAGTGAGAACATGCGGTGTTTGGTTTTCTGTTCTGTGTCAGTTTGCTGGCAGTTGGTGGGGGGTGGGCTAGGGGAGGGACAGCAGGTGGTAGGAAGGGTGGGGAGGGATAAGATGGGCAGAAATGCTGGATATAGTATGCACCTATGCAACAACCCTGCATGACCTGCACATGCACCCCAGAACCTAAAGTAAAATTTTAAAAAAAATCTTTGTTTCCTCGAATTTAAAGTAGAATTAATGACAGCATTTCCCTTGTGGGTATGTTTTGGGGACTAGACAAGCTGATGCCTATGAAGTGCGGGATAGCACCTGGCCCGTGGTAACACTGGGTTAATGTCAGCACACAGGCAATTTCCATACCAGGTAAGAAAATAGAATGTTAAGAAGGAAGCTTTGTAAAATGGAAGCTTCCTGTGCCACATTTCATGATTTTTTGTGTGAATTCTTTGAAAGAAATAAAAGGGACTAAAATAAAAGCTTCCCCTACTTCTTTGTTAACTCCATCTTGAAAGCGGTATCACATGCATGATTTTTATTGTATTTCAAATTTCTTTTGAAAGCTGAAGGAGAACTGTAAATGATAAATAACCAAGGAAAATGTCCTTACAACCTCCTAACAATATTTTCTTAATGTTTAGAAGAAGCGATTAAGCATTTGATTAAAGAGTATTTTGAAATGGAAAGGTGAGGCAGTGTGAGTAGGATCTTTTGAGGGTGGCATGTGGTGTTTCCTTCCAGAGTTTATCATGAAAATAACTGTGAGGGTTTTTTTTTTTCTTTCTGCTTGAGACGGAGTCTTGCTCTGTCTCCCAGGCTGGAGTACAGTGGCGCAATCTCGGCTCACTGAAACCTCCGCCTCCCATGTTCAAGCAGTTCTGTCTCATCCTCTACAGTAGCTGGGACTACAGAAGCATGCCACGATGCTCGGCTAAGTTTTGTATTTTTAGTAGAGATGGGGTTTTACCATATTGGTCAGGCTGGTCTTGAGCTCCTGACCTCAAATGATCCACCCGCTTCGGCCTCCCAAAATGCTGGGATTGCAGGCATGAGCCACCTCGCCCGGCTGACTGAGTTCTTTGAGGGCTGGACCTAACTAAATGCTCATCTCACATATGCAGACCGTCTAGGAGGCAGGGACAAACAAGCAATCAACTGTCATAAATAAAAGGGATCAAGATGGATTCCTTATCCCTAGGAAAAAAAATTGAGTTGCATCTAGCAAGTGTGGTTAAAAAAGGGGTGGAAGAGACTGAACATGTACGAATAGAACCTGTCAACTGCATTTCTCAGAATTCCCTATTTTCCACCCCAGAGTGGCATCTTCCTGAAGACATTTCAAAGCACAACTTTTATGTAGAAGGAAAATAAATGAATACAGTCTATTCCCCACCC